GAGAATGATACCCGCAAAATTAGTAACTCTTCACTGAACGCCTTTCCTTCATAATTGTTTAGATTCCCAGTAGAAGTAATGAATTATTCCTACTGCATGTATTTTCATCTGATTCGAAAAATAAAGCTTTAATTATCATCTGTCCCAGATATGTTGAAAATTATTCAACCTTTGCGATAAATAGGAAGCAAAAAAGTGAACGATTAAAACAGAATGTCAAAACTATGCAACTGCAGTCGACTGAATGATTCCGAACAGAGGACGGTTTTACTGTCTGATATCTGGTATCCAATATACGGCAAAGTTAAACTTTAAGCACCACTAACTAACTACCAATCAGCGAATGACCTGGAATGCACCAATCGCGTGAAGGAGGCAATTTTGTGTATGGAATACATATATTTATGAAAAAAATGCATAAAATCTGTAGAAAAGTGCTACAGAAGATACATTCCCCTCACATGTGATAAAAATAACTCTCAGTTTTAGGTTGGAGTATCAACAGTGTAATTCCATTGTGCATAAAATTTATTTTGATAAAGCCTCACAGGTACAGGATTTCATCATGAGCTGACATTCGTTAGAGAACCATCGGAAAACCTAATGCCAGTAAGGGACACCTGTTACATCCTAGTTTGGGAATATTCATCAGTACGCAACAACAAGGATTCAAACCCACTGGGTTCCAGTGGGAAGTCATGACCAGTACGGTTCAGTAGGTCGGGTGTGAAGACAAATACTCGCTGAAGACACTGGCTAGGTGTCGCGCTATGTCATGAATTGGCAGAAGTTAGAATTCATGGGTTGGTCATTGGATCGGATCCCAATGGCTTAATGGTATACGAGTTTGCCTTGTAACCAGAAGGTCGTGGTTTCGAATCTCGGTGTGTGCGTACTGCTGAAGAGTCGCAAACCAGGACGAAACAGCTGTCCAGTACTCCCTGTGGCTGGTTTTCCAATGGTTCTCTAACTGATGTCAGGTCATGATGAAATCCTGTATTATGGAATTACTTACTACCACAGTCCCCAAGTTTTACACATATATGGATAACTGTTAGTTTTTGTTCTCTGTCAGCTGCTAGTCGGTCATAAGAATGGCTTCGTAAATTGATGGTTTTGGGTTGAGTTGTGAGTGAGTACTGATGAAGAGTGGAGGGCTAAGACGAGTCCCTATTGATTTCCTAACTGATTTGAATAAAGCAAGAACAAACAGTTTGTACAGAATAAGATGCTACCTAGAATGGTGGCCACATTGCAAAACTGACTGATAGAATTCAGTCTGCACCGAAGATAGGACTAGATACATTACACTAGTTGCTGACTAGTGTCCAGTCGAAATATCCACTGCAGTCCTATAGCTGGCCAATCGCGAGCCCGAATAGCTCCGTGACTGTTAACGTCTCTGACTGCTGGGCATCACAGGGTGGAGCGGGTTCGAATCTCAGAAGGGACAAGAGTTCCCTCAAGGTTGCAGACACGCTGCCTTGCTAATTGGTGGCAAGCCTTCCTGCCAATTGTCTACAAGCATCTAATGTTAACAATTATTAGTGCACACTGACGGCGAGCCATTTAGTGGCATGGTGGTCACATTGCAAACTTGACTGATAGAATTCAGTCTGCACCAAATAAAGGACCAGACACAGTACACTAGTTTAGCAACTACTGTTCGATCTAGAATTGTGTCACACGCACACACACCCGTATTACTCAGTAATATACTTCTATGTATTCCTAGTAAGCGTATAAATGTAATTGCACAGACCTCGAAGATGACTTTATCAATGGAGAAAATTTTCCTTGATGAATTGTCTTCACTATCTTCTTCATAAACACAAAAGAACAGCAAGTAATCTCGGGAACTATTTCATAAAACACTTACACCTTGATTCCCAGTATCAATCAATAACTTAGTGCTGAGAACATATTTTTTAAAAAACATAGCTATACTTTCAATCCACAATAAAATGTGCAAAAAAGTACTTTCATTCATATCTGAATATGTTGTAAAACGGATATCAGTTCGTGGTCAAAACTCTAACCAATCGAATCCCTGCAAACCAAGACTTGAAAATGAATATGATACCCACTAACGACTGGCTGTATACAGAAAATTACCTGAAGTTCTAGTGGGTGTCACGATGTTAGGTGATAGAACAATGCCTCACCAAGGATGACATTGGCTGGAGGTTGCCTTAGATATATCGCCATTTGGCAGAAGTTGAAATTCGTCGCTCACTGGATTCCGGCCCGTGTGGTTGAATGGTCTACGATGTCAGCTCATGATGAAATCCTGTAACTAATCAAATCTCTACAAACCAATACTTGAATTCGATATAGGTTTGTTTATTAGATGTATCTCACAGTCAGTGAAACAGTATTATTACTGGATGACAAAGTTTCGACAATAAATTATTACTGCTAATAATTATACCAATTATAATCACACGACTTCGAAACTTGAATTTTATAGTTTTCTTTGTTCTCTTCTATTTGTGCTAGGGGTAGTAGAATTTTCCAGAAATCCGAGACAGCTGCTGAATCATTCCTATTACACGAATTTGCAGTTAATTCGATAAACTTGCGTCCTAAGTTCAAGTTATTGGTCAGAAATGAGTTCGTTTCTGACTGCCTCTGTAGCCATATTTATCGGTATACGTGTATATAAACCTACAATGTTAAACCTAACCAGTTTTACTGCATTATGTAATTTTAAATTATCTAATCTTTGTTTTAGTTTAGTGATATACGGCTATAGAGGCAGTCAGAAACGAAATCATTTCTGACCAAGAACTCGAACTTAGGACAAAATAGTCACTTGAGGACATGATGCTGGGAGTACAGCTATGCCTTACTTCCACAGTATTTAAATTCCAAGGGAAAATATACAAACAAACTGAAGGAGTTGCCATGGGGTCACCAATATCCCCGGTTGTGGCAGATATGTTCATGGATAGGTGGGAAAACATAGCGACTGAAAAGTTCAGCCCCATCCCAAAAGTATGGTCCAGGTATGTAGATGACACATTCACTGTACATAGAACACAGGATATAAATAAACTTTTCGAACACATTATAACTCAAAGGTGGAGGCAATTCAATTTACTTATGAATTGGAAAGTCAGGAAGGTAAGCTCCCAATTTCAGATTGTAGCGTAAAAAGGAAAGAAGATGGGAAGTTAAACACGCTAGTGTTTACAGGAAACCCACACATTCAAACAGATATTTGGACTTCCGATCATCCCATCCTATGTCAGTAAAAATACGATCGGTGAAACATTCGAGTAATAGAGCACAAAAACTAAGTACTACCAAGGAAAATCTAAGACAGGAAGCGAAGCATATAAATTAGTCAGAAAGTATGTAGGAAAATGTAAAAATAAAATAAATAATAATAGTAATATTAATGACTACATGCATGTCAAGCATGCACGGGATAATGACAACACCAACAATAAGGAATCTAAATCATCGGTAGTAATTCCACACAAGGAAGGAATCTCGGAAACCTTACTCAGAATTCTTAACAAGAATAAGAGTGGCTGGCATTCAAACCTCCCACAAACTCAATTAGAACCAAGCTTTATCGGTTAAATGATCAACCCTGTGGAGCCTTTAAAACAAAACAATTTGGTTTATCTAATACCCTGCCTGCAATGATTGTCAGGTCGCAAACATAGGTCAAACGAGTAGAACAGGGGCAGTGAGATTGTCGGAACATAAAAACCTAGCAGTGAAATCCAGATTAGTTGACCCCAATGATAAGGTAAGAGGTCTAGCGAATAGTTCAACTATAGCAATCACCACATGCAATTACACACAGCAAAGGTGGAGGGAGAGATTGATAACAACAGAAGCTTTGTTTATCGAATCAACTGCAAACCAACGCCGTGTAATAGAAATGATTCAACACACCTGTCCACCCAGATATCTAGAAACTTCTACTACCACGCTTACGACGACAACAAATAGGAGAGAACAAAGAAAACTAAAAAAACCTCAAGTTTCCAAGTCGTGTGATTATTATTGATGATGAAATGATTATGAAAAGTAATAAATACTGTTCGAAACTTTCTCTCACTCTGTTACACCGAAAACTCGATGGAATCTCTGTCTGTCGGAGTCCCAACTTCTTCTTATTAAATTACCAGGTCTGTCTGTCTGTCTGTTTTCGACATAGAACTTTCCACAAATGTGCGATAGTTCAAGTCGCCACACTCCGTGTAGCACGCGAAGCAAGAGAAGAAAGTACAAGAAAAGCATAATAGAGACAGTGAGCAGAGGTGTGAGACAAAGGAGTAATAAAGAAATACAAAACAGTTTCATTGAAGATCATAAGTCACAGGGAGTGGATGCATCCGCACCAGCCACTGAGAACGATTTTGAGCCATGTCACCAATTGTTTCCAACCATAGATTTTTACCGTCCCGAGGACCCCAGCCTGGAAGTCTACACCTTCCTACGTAGCTAGCTTAAACTAACTGTTGTGGATTTCATTGACTGGTGAGGCCATGTTTCTGTTTGACCGCCGCTAGCTTTTTTCCAGCCTGACCCTATATCCGCTAACATTGCTCGTCGAGGGAGGCGATGGCTTGGCATACGTAACACATGTCCTAACCATCTCAGTCTTTGTAACTTCACGACTTCGTCGATTGATTTCCCCTGTTTACCTAGAACTCGACCGACGCCTAACCTCAATATTGCTTACCTTATTATGCGACTTCACGCGGGAAATAGAGCGCAGGCACCTATGATCAAAGACAGCTAGTCTTTTCATGTCTTCCACTCTCAGTGGTCAGGTCTCACAACCATAAAGGAGGACGGAGCGGACTGATGAGCAGTACACCCGCCCTTTGGTCGATAGTCGGATATCACGTCTACGCCAGAGTCGGCGTAAACTGGCAAATGCGAAACGAGCCCCTGTATTCGTGCTGAGATTTCGTCAGAGATCAACCCGTTGGCGTTGGCCGATGGTACTTCCCAAATAAGTGAAGCGGTCAACCTGCTCTACCACTTCACTTCCTTTTTTTAAACTAAATTACCAGGTGGTAAGAAAATATTTATTTTTGTTTTTGTTGAAAAAATGTGTGTTATCCGTTGATGATGAAAGCATTAAAAAAAGAACAAATTACACACACACACACACAAACAAATAAACTGTGAGACAACAAATATATGTCGATCAACTGAAAGTATAATATATATATACGTTCTGAAAATAGAGCAAGAGAAAAAAATAATAAAAGAACAAGAGAAATTAGTTCATTAGATTGAATCTTCTTGTGTTGTCATCTCATTGACACCATCTACTTCTACACTATCGCCTTCCTCCTCATCATCTTCTTCTTCTAGCCCTTTAATACTCTGGACTGTTGATTTCAATTGGGCAATCAATTGTTTAATGGTGGGATTCTCAGAACAATTCAGCAGATTAATAAATTTTGGCATAATAGACTTGATTAGAAATTCTATATTTATCAAAATGATAGATTGCTAAAAAAAACAAGGGAAGAGAAAGAGAAAAGATTGAAAGATGCATAGACAAGAGTCTTTTATTAATTGGACACTCATTAGTCAGTAATTAGTGTAATGTGTTTAGACTTTCTTATCTTCGGTGCAGACTGAATTCTTCTATCAGTCAACAACTCTCAGTGGTAACGTGTTTGACTGCAGGGCAGTACTGTGTGTGTGTGTGACGTGGGTTCGAATCTCAGAAGGGATATGAGTTCCTTCCTGCAAGATTGCAGATATGCTGCCTTGCTGACTACTGGTGAGTGAGTGCCAACTAGCATGGAACTTAGGTCCTAGCAAGGTTTCCTGTGGCCGATGGCCTACAACCACCCCATACAGACAGTCTATCAATGTGATATATAAATATGTATATATCAACAGCTGTGCGACAACAGCACATGTCAAGTGATCCACAACGGAAAACTCAGCGAGGCGTTTGGAGTCAACACAGGAGTCAGACTAGGGTGCTTACTATCACCAATGATATTCCTAATTGTGGTGAACTGACTGGATTATGCGTCAAACAGTTGGAAACGAAAACACAGGAATATCCTGGATCGACGTGAAGAACCTAGAAGACCTGGATTTCGCGCGTGGATGATTTATGTTTGATGTCACACAAAATCGAAGACTTACAAGCGGAAACCGACAAACTGGTCGAAGAAGCAGCCGGTGAAAACAGGACTTCAAGTGAACATAGACAAGACGGAGGTGATGAAAATAACCAACCAACCAACAACAACAACAGAAGTTACATCCAGCGCCAATCACCATCTATGGGAGGGATTTGAAAGAGGTTACTTCATTCAATTATCACCTAGGGAGATTTGTCTCAACTACAAGCAGTTGGAACGGACGAGGATGTCAAATCGAGTGAGAATCGGGAAGGCGAGCGAGAAACACATTCATCAACCAACCTGAAACCAATCTGGAAATCTTCGTCACCCAACTCACCATCAACAACGAAATTCGGTCGGATTTTCAATACAAACAACGTCAAGTTAGTCAGTTCTTCTATACGGATCAGAAACTTGGCGGGTGGGTCACAAAGAATATTTCCAACAGCCTATTTCAGACCTTCATCAAGCAACAACTGTCTTCGCTTTATACTGAAGATCAATCATATGGCCGGGCCGGAAAGAGTGTAATAGTACTCCAAATCTTTATTATCTTCATTCAACAGCTATATTGCAATGTTACACGTCCAGTGATAAACCACAGAAGCCTTCAGAGAGCTTTTGAAGTGAAAGCATGAGTAAAATAAGGTTGCTTACTGCAGTAGACTGAATTATCAGGAACACCGTGGGAAAAGAGAACACGGATATATGCTGGAGAGACAAAAAAGACTCTAGAAGATCTAAGCTTTTGCAGATGATGTCTAATGTCGCATAAACTCAACAATCTACACACGGAAACCAAAAAGTTGGAAGAAGAAGCAGCGAAGACAGGACTACAAGTGAACACAGAGCTGACAGAGGTGATAAGGATATCTAAGCATCAGTCATTATCATTAACAGGAGGAATCTAAAGCAAATCACATTTTTTTCACTTTCCTAACCTAGAAAGCATCGTTTCAGCTACAGGCGAGACAAAGGAAGATATCAAAACAAGGATCACAGAGGTAAGGTACACTTTCATCACTCCAAAATCAGTCTGGAAGCCTACTGAACTAAGTACAAATAACAAGATTCGGATTCTCAACACTAATCTCAAGTGCCCGTCAGTGCTTCTATGTGGTTCAGAGACATGGAGCTCACATCACCTAAAAACATTTCGAATAGGTTTCAAGCTCTAAACAACAAATGTCTTCGTAGGCTTCATACTGAAGATTAGATGGTGCGTCGGAAAGGATTAGAGAGAGGTTTCGCGTGCGTTTCGGATTGTGAGGGCGATTGTTACTTCCCGGCTACCCACACCGTGGAAGTTGGTTGCGTGACCGCAGAGCCCAAGGGACAACTGCTTGAGCCAGGCCGGTCACACGCGGCCTGTTTTTGTTCGTTCTCTTTTGTTTGGTGTGCCTCAGTAGCATACTTATCACTCCCGCCCTGTGACACGGCACCAGGAAGCGCGGTCGTTGTTAATCCGGGCCACGGCCGATCCGGCATGAAATTTTGTGATTTTGTATTGGTCATAATGTTGGATTGGGTAGCTGCTTTTTGTTTAACCGCTATCCAAACAACCTTTTTGGCATGGTAGGACCTCAAGAGACATAAGTCTCAGCCAGTATAGCTTGATTAGGTCACTGCGGTGTTCAAGCCCGACCACCACGTCAAGGTAGCAGCTTTCGGTTGGAAAGGATTACCAACAAAGAAATCCGTCATGCAGCAAATCAATCATGAGAAACATATTGCCCAATAAATACTACAGAGGAAAATCGAGATGGATCAGACAAATACTGAGGAGACCGTCGAATAACATCATACACCAGGAGCCGAGTTGAACTTGAATTCGAAATGATAAGTGACATGGGGAGATCGTTTGAGGAGGAAATGACAGCGCTTAAAGGCAATTGTGAAACATCCGACGACATGGTGAAATGGAGATGTGTTTCTGAAGTCCTATATTATTCCACTCGAAACCTAAACAACAATTAGTTTCACACTTGCCAACAGAACTATGACAGGGGAGATCGTTGTTTTTGCGTTGACTGAAGATAGTGAACAATTCCGAATCCGAGGAGTGATATCAATTTTATCAAAATTTGATATTTGCGATAACTAAGTAATTCTTGATGTCTTGTTTGCATTCAACAACTGACATCCTTCTTTAAAATTCACTATAGAAAAGGAATCTGAACTAACCCTTCCCTTTCTTGATGTCTGTCTTAGAAGACGCAATGATGAATGTCTCAAAAGATCCATCCACCGGAAACGTACATGGAACGGACAACTAACACTAATTTTTATAGTTGGGTGTCTATCTCCAGAAAAAGGAATCTAATTCATTAGTTCTGCTTTAGGATAAAAAACATCTGCAGTTCTGATTGCGTTGACTCAGAAATTGACTTCCTAAAAGCCACGCTAGCAGAATACGGTAACCCGAACTGATTTATTGACAGCAATACGAAAGATAAGCAGTCTAAACTGGTCACCGGCTCAATTCCAAAGAAAACCTTATTCGTGAACTTTGAATTCAAAGGTAATCAAGCTTCAGGCATGCTCAAAAACCGTCTCTCTAAATCAGTCAGTAAGGTGTTCTTTGCACCAAAATCACAAATGACGTTCATTTCTGTAAAAGATAAGCTCCCAGTCTGGCCACCTCCATGTGCATCTATTAGTTCACCTGCTCTTTTGCAGTAAGGCACACTGGTCGTAGCTGGAGGACGCTTTCCACACGGATACGAGAACATATTAAAGCAGCATGGTTTTACAAGAGAAAAGAGGGTGTCTGTGCGAATCTCTATTCTAGAACACCCGATAGACTCCTATCAGTCTGCCCTGACCACGATTTTAAGATCATCTACCGAATCCATGCTAATTTGCTGGCCACGTTCTCTTCATTATACACTTTTAAAAACAGCGGAGGCCTTAGCAATTCATGAATTTAAGCCAGACCTATGTATAAAAAAGAAGTATGTACAATCCCTACTTCTGCCTTGGCCGTAGAGGGATAGACATTTGTTTATTTATGTATTTTGTTTATTTAGTTATTCTATGTACCTCTCCCTCACTACTACAATTATTATTATTATTTGCACTTTGAATTGTTTCCGCTTGTCCCACTTGTCATCTTAAATTCAAAAAGCATTTTTTCTTACAATGTGATTACAGCTTGAATTCCACACTTTATTTTTAGCACTGGTGTGGAATTTTCAGCATGTGATATCGGTAGCCCAAATTTTGCAGGCCGACTATAGATTTCAGGTGTGCGTCGGCAAAGGATCAAACTCCGGATCATGTGCATGATCGGCAAGAGTCCTAACCGCCGTGCTACCGACGCACATTCTATCTTGAAGTATTGGTTTTGTAGGGATTTTGTTTGATTGGATGGAGGGTTCCGTAATGAGCTGACATCAGTTAGGGAACCATTGGAAAACCTGCGAGTACTGGACAGCTATTTCGCCCTAGTTTCGGACCCTTCATCAGCACGCACCCACCACCAGGGTTCGAACTCAGAACCTTTTGGTTACAAGGCGAGCTCGTAGAACCATTCAGCCACTGGGACCCGATCCAATGGTCCTTGAATTCTAACTTCTGCCAATTCACGACATAGCGCGATCATTTCGCAATGATTTCTTCCATGAGTTACTGCCTCATCTTCAACCTGCTGTACCCTACTGGTCACGGCTTCTCACTAGAAACCCAGGTTAACTACCTGAATAGGGCCAGTCGCTAGTGAGCGTCGTGAATTGGCAGAAGTTAGATATCAAGGACCATTAGATCGGGTCCCAGTGGCTCAATGGTCTACGAGCTCGCTTGTAACCAGGAGGTTCTGAGTTCGAACCCTGGAGGTGATGATGATGATGATAAAGAGTCCCGAACTAGGACGAACTCTATCTTATCAAATTCCACACCATGTTGCGTAACATTTTATATTTGCCTTCTAATCCTATAATTATGCATTCCTTTCCAACAATATCTATACACCTTATGTATTATTCTATATATGACATTAATTATTTTGCCACTTGACATTCAACAACTATGATTATAATCACAAATATTTTAATTGCATTTCATACTATTATTATTATTTCATGTATGCACACCTTTGACCTAATTCCCTCACCGGATATAATTTCTTAAGTAAAACTATGAATATATACGATTGTACAGCTTGATAATAAATTCGTTGAAAAAAGTCTCTTTGATGATACAATGGGAATTAATAAATTATATAAAAATAAATGACAAAAAAGAAAAAAAAGAAAAAAAACAAAAAAAACAACACAACCCACCCTTATTGGATCAGATATGTCAATAGGTGATACACGTTCATAACAACCAAGTTCTGAATGTACCATGTGTATAAAACACGCTACCAGGATGATATCCATATCTGAACAATTGAGGAGATTAACACTTTGAATAAACTGTCGTAATGATCGTATAAGATAATATGTACTCATTGTTAATTTCATACCATCTATAAAAAAGAAAATAACAACAATGAAAAACAGAAGGATTACAGTAGTAACACACAGTAGGATACAAAAAATGAGGGTGCGGGGGGATTCCGAATGGAACATAAGGTTTCAACAACACATCTCCACTCTACAATTGGTGGATGGTGGCTAGCAGTGGAATCCAGGATGCGCATTTCGTCCTATTTGGGACTCGTCAGCTGGGTGTACCTGCATTTCTCAGTGAGTGATGATGTTCCCACCGAGGCTCGAACCCAGTACCCATAGTTTCAAACGTCCCGTCGATTGGTCTAGTGGATAACGCTTTGGCGTTTGAAACTATGGGTACTGGGTTCGAGCCTCGGTGGGAACATCATCACTCACTGAGAAATGCAGGTACATCCAGCTGACGAGTCCCAAATAGGACGAAATGCGCATTCTGGATTCCACTGCTAGCCACCATCCACCAATTGTATACTAATTAAATACCTAGACATCGTCGAAGCATCTGTACAAGAAACCGACATGTCAACCTGAGACCGAGCACTTCGGTTCAATCAATCGACGGGAAAATCAAAAATTCAATTCAACATCTCCACTCTGTTCTACTCAGTCCTGTCCTCTTCAGCTGGGTCCACGATTTCCCATAGCCTCTCATCTCCTCCTCCTCCTCTATATCACCCTCGCACTTATGACCTACTCGTCGCCTGCTATTCATCAGATCGCAGTCAAGAGCAATAGCCTGCATTGTGCGCGATATCATTCGGCAGCCCCCTCAGTCGCGTATACCCGATCCATCTCCATTTTCTCCTACATATTCGTTAAGTAGTCGGTTCTCGCCTGTTGGTTTGTTCCCACCCAGAATTTCTTATTACTAATTATGTCTGGCTAGCCAAACGGCCAATGGATAGTCAGTATGGAGCAAAGGCAGGTGAATAATTTTGATGTGGTTGTGTTCTTTGAGCTGAATAGTTAATTTCCCAAACTTTCATTGCCCTACTTGCTAGGCAACATCTTCATCAGCGCGTACACTTCAGTTTGTTGAATTGAGATTTTATACTTCGCCACGAGTTTATTATCAACTCTCCTAGTGACCTTGAACCTCGTGATTGGTTGCTTTCGTGTGTCTTCACTGATTGTTTCCTTGACTTGAACTTTGACTCTTTGTGTGTGAGATTTCCTTCTTATCGATTGGTAAATTTTATCTATCTCGATGTGTATATTGACTGACGACTCACTGGAATACCAGGCGTCTAAAAATTCTCTGACTAGCATTCTTGGTATTTCCTTTGTCTGATATTTGAACATTGTCCCAGTCGAAGTGATGTCCGTGGTTGCCTGTATGCATGCAGCGATATGCGGGAGTGGATGCCATGTATTTAGACGGCTAGTTTATGATCATGGATACGAAGACGAAGGGGACATCCACTTTGGCCAATGTAGTGTTTTTCTCAGTTGTTACAATTTATTTTGTAGACGATGTTGGTTTCATCTTCTCTCGTTGTTGAGTCTTTTGGTTGATATAGGACTGAGTGAAGTGATTTTGTTGGTTTGTGTACGACGTCAATTCCTAAAGGTTTGAAGAGTCCTGTGGTGATTTCTGTAATGTCCTTTATATATGGTACAGTGATTTTCTCTGTGCTTTCCTCGGGGGCTTTTGATTTAACAGGCTGGCTTAAGGGTAGATATCTGTTGATCAAATTCCGTGCATATTCATTCTTTTGGAAGATGTCCATGAGATATCATTCTTCAATTTTCCTTAGGGTGGAAGTGCAGCTATGAGGCCTGGTTGACCCTCTTGAATAGTGTTTGTATACAATTCCTTTTGTGTGTCATTGTACTGTTGCTGTTGTAATTCAGTATTTGGTCTGTGTGAGTTGATTTTCTATAAATTTGAGTTTCTAATTCCCCTGAAGGCAGGTGTTGATGAAAATTTGCAGACTGTTGGAAAAGCACGATGACGATTAAATGTGAAATAGAAATCTCTGCTACCGTAAAGCTAGAACTACTAGTGTAGTGAGAGCTGGCTGCTAGCTAAATTGGTAAACAGTAATTTACGTCAATATTTACGTCACCAATACTGGTCGTGAGAAAAATAAGAACAAAGACTGACTCAACAACCAATCACATCAGACTTTGCGTAGGCGGATACAGTTAGCAAATAGATTATCTGACATTGAAGAAACAGCCACAAAGAAATGAAAGATTAACTTTCAGTGAGAAACACCCAATCAGAAGACGCTGTTTGTCTGCTAGCAATAATCTATAATAATAATAATAATAATAATAATAATAATAATAATAATGTACATAAAAATCTATAAATATCTGTTGATTTCCTTAATAAACGATCTGTTGCCTGGCCCTTGTCTTCTGTTGTTACACTAGTGCTTGATTGCATGTTATTTATACAACATCAACGTTTTGATGATATTAGATGGTTGGAGACAGTCGGCCACAGGAAGTCTTGCTCGACCTAGGTTTCTTGCTAGTTGGCACTCACTAGTCAGCAAGGCGGAGTATCTGCAGCCTTGGAGGAACTCATGTCCCGCGTCACCCAGTGCCACCTGCAGTCAAAGACGTCGCCACTGAGCTATTCGGACTCACGATTGACCTCCTGTAGGACTGTAGTGGATATTTTGGTTGGACACTAGTAACTAGTGTGATGTGTCTAGTCTTTTCTTTGGTGCAGACTGATGATGGTGAGCTACCTAGAACGGTGGCCACATTAGAAAGCTGACTGATAGAATTCAGTCTTCACCGAGGAAAGGACTAGACACAGCACACTACTTACTTGTGTCTAATCAAAACATTAAAATATTGTTAATAAGACTAATTTACTGATTAATATGTATATATAACTGTATAACCTGATGAAGGAGAGGTTATCGAAAAGAATATTCAGTGTTCAGTATAACCATTCTTTTGAAAAATTACGTCTTATTATTATCATTACTGTTATTACTTTGTCAATATTCATACAGAGAGAGAATAACTAATTGTTTCTGAAACAAGAATATGTTTTATAACTTGTCTATCTGTCTGTCTGTCTATTTTCGACATAGAAATTTGCACCGATGTGCACTAGTTCAAGTCGCCACACTCCCTCCATATAGCACACAAAGCAAGAGAAGAAAGTACAAAAAAAGCATAATAGAGACAGTAAACAGAGGTGTGAGACAAAGGAAGAGTAATAACGAAGAACAAACCAGTTTCATTGGAAATCATAAGTCACAAGGAGTGGATGCATCTGCACCAGGCATTGAGAAAGATTTTGAGCCATATCACTAATTGTTTCCAACCACTGATTTTTTACCGTCTCGAGGACCCCAACCAGGAAGCCAGTCTACAGCTTTCTACGTGGTTAGCTTAAACTAATTGTTATGGATTTCACTGACTGATGAAGCCATGTTTTGGTTTGACTATCACTAGCTAGCTATTTTCCACCCTGACCCTATGTCAGCTAACATTGTTCGTCAAGGCGGCGACTGGGCAAACGTAATACATCTCAGTCGACGTAATTTCACAGCTAACTCGTCTATTGATTTCCCCTCCCACCTACCTAGCACTCGAGGTCTAACCTCAATATTCGTCACCTTATTACACCACTTCACACAGGAAATAAAACGCAGGCACTTATGACCAAAGATAGCTAGCTAGGCTTCTCATGTCTTCCACTCTCAATGCTTAGGTCTCGCTCACAGCCATAAAGGACGATGGAGCGGATTGATGAGCAGTACACACACCCTTTGGTCGATAGCCAGCCGGATATCACGTCTAAGCCAGAGACGGCGTAAACTGGCATATGCGAAACGAGCCTCCTGTATCCGTGCCGCGATTTCGTCAGAGATCAACCCATTGCCGTTGGCTGTTACAACTTCCCAAATAAGTGAAGCGGTCAACGTGCTCTACCACTTCACTCCTGCCTATTTCTAAGCTAGGAATCAGTGTAGTCCAGTCAGCCCTGTAACATCATCTTACATTTGATAGCAGGAGCAAATTGCACGCCAAACATTCGTAGATTGCAGCTCAAGGTGTTCAGAAGACTCTGCTCTATTTTGTCAGCGTCCTTGCCTAGAAGAAGGACTATATCGTCTGCATATTCTAAGTCAAAAGCACACAAAGTTTTATAACTTACAATCCGCTGAACTATACTGATTCAGTAGACCGAATTCAATTAAATCCAAAGAGATTTTCTCTTGTTCTCCTTTAGGCAAACTTGACAATGTCTCCCAAGTTTCTTGCTACAAATGAGAAATATGAAAAAAAAAGTGATATATAGGCATACATTATCTAACTATCTTTATTCTTCATTGTATTCTCATAAGCATCTGGAATTACAAGAAGTATGTGAGATGCGGGTCCCAGTGGCATAATGGTCCACGAGCCCACCTTGTAATCAGAAGGCCCTGGGTTCGGCCTCTATCCAGTGGGTGTGCAGTGCTGAAGAGCCCCATGCTGGGACAAAACAACCGTCCAGTACTCCCAACTTCTGTATGTATTAAGCTATGATATACCCTTATTGTGAGGTTGTGAGCCAACTGTATTGTGATAAATTAAATATGTAAATATGGTGCGTTGGTGGCACATCGGTTAGGACGCTCGCCAACCATGCCGATGCTACGGAGTTCGAGCCCCGGCCACCGAGGCACCCCTTTACCTCGCTAAGCCAGTAATAAAGATGGTAAAGAGGAAAGGTTGAGCATATAAGGCTAGTAACCCCATCCTGTAAAAAATAAACACTGCTACAGAAACTTCAAGCCTCTATTATGAAGCCCTATGTTCCAATGGGAACTTGAAGGAATAATAAATGTGAGATGCAGAATAATTCGTAGAGCCAAAGCTTTTGGTGTTTGAAACATTGGGTGGTGATTTCGAATCTCAGTTGGAGCATCATCACTCACTGGAATATATATATATATACAAGTACATCTCTAGCTGCGAAGTCTCAAATATAAGGAAACGTTGTACATCAGACTCCACGGTTGACCACTATTAACGAAGTAACACCACGCAAAGTTCAAGTTACTGTACTAGTGTGGTGACACCAGGCCGCTAGCCAAATTAGTAGACAGTAATTTACGTCAATGTTTATGGCCCAAATATTAGTCATTTGAAAAACAAGAACAAATACTGACAGCAGACTTTGCGTAGGCAGATACAATTAGCAGATAGATGATCTGACATTAAAGAAACAGCCACAAACAGATGCAAGGTGAACTTTTAGTGAGAAACAACCAATCAGAGGACTGTGTTTTTCTGCTAACAATAATCTATAATAATATAAATGGAAATCTATGAATATGTGTTGATTTCCTTAATAAACGATCTGTTGCCTGGCTCTTGTCTTCTGTCGTTACACTAGGAGTCAACGCATCAACAGAGGTCGACCATTTCGGTCGGTCATATACTCATTCATTGGGAAATTTAAGATAATAATATCAACAAAATTCCTTATTTTATTCTTTCGCGTACCAAAGGGAACATGAGACTTCAAGCTTCAGCTTTAAAGGTTCAGTAGTAATGATGTTTGTTTTCATGTGGTGGGTTCTCTAGTCTCAAGACAAACCTTCCTTCTTTACCAAGCTTACTACAGGTTTAACAAGGTTTGCAAGTGAGTCAGTCGGGAATCGAACCCAGGACCACGTGAATAAAGTTAGCACCGACGCAACAAGTGCCAAGGATTAATTTGAACTTTCTTTCGAGCATCCTTCTATTATGTGAATCAACCTAAGTACAGAAGGATTAGGCTATATATTGACGTGAATTATGTTAGATGGCTAGAAGCGAAAGGAAAGCAACTATCTGTGTACACCTGAGTTCCACGTCAGCTTAATGGTTCTGATTCCTGATTCAAGGATATAGAGTAATATAGTTGATGTGTAACAACGACTACACTTATTTCAAAAGTTGCACTAGCCCCTCTGCACTGATTGCTGATGAATACAAAAAGCTTGTTTGACATCAAGCAACTGGTATCATCTTTTGAGTTTACGAGACACCTGATTATCAATTAAATGAAGTGTGGTGAAGTGTATAGCGGCCCGCCTCGTCCCTCTGCACAACTGTAAGATATGGCTGTTGAAAATGCGAGACATAGAAAGAGGTGTCAGCCATCTTTTTCCATAGGTGCCTGCATTCTATGTCTGTCTAGTTGGCATCCTCGAGTAGCTAGCTAAGAATCAATCAATGGTTGACAAAACAACTCCAAATCACTCACAATAGTGTAAATGTATTTACTCGCTGTGATCTTGAATAAAGGAAAAACAAAGGTAGTTTGTGCAGAAGTTAACCGAAGCAATTTCTATCAAACGCTTGAAACCAGATTTATGTGTCCAGAAAGAAGCAGTTATTAGTCTTTTCTTGCCCTGTCTGGTAACTAGATATCTTTATTTTCTTATTTGATTACGTAATCTTTGGCTTTAACCTCACCTTCTTTTATAATTTGTAATTTTGCTTGTCTCCTTGTTTCTGTGATTTGAGTTCAACTCAATAAACTGTTACCTAATTCATTAGTCACTCATCACCTTACTCATCTCTCGTCTTTATTACTTAACTCCTTTGCAATTGTATGCATACATTTATTTTGTTTACACTTTCTCTGTAAAGACTCTATAAGCGCAATTTTCTGAGGAGTGTTCACTAATAGTGGAACTTTCTGTCAACTGAAAACATGTGAAATTTGCAAGTATTTTAAAACTTTTCTGTACATAAACCTCATAATTTATTTAGGCTGTAAGCAGCTGAACTGATGACTAGCCAACGAAATAAACAATGATGGTACCATATATTATTCTGCACAACCTCGCCTAGATTACTACCTCGTTGGGGGCGTGGTGCTAGCAACTCCACCGCCAAAACTTAACCAAATTGCTACAGAAACTTCAACGCATAAATATATTAAAAATACTAAAAATATAAACAATAGCCTTATTTCTCGCTGGAATTGGGGAAGTGAAGTGACGCAGGCTAGTGAAAGCCTTTAGGAAGCCAGTCAGCCGATGTGTCTTCATTCGATGAAAGCAAAAATAAGGATGGGTACCTGGAATGTTCGTACAACGTACGAAGCTGGAAAGGCTGCTCAGGTAGCCGCAGAAATGAAAAGATATAAAATAGAAGTGTTTTGAATCTGCGAGAGCAGATGGAACGGATATGGAAGGTGCCAACTATCAACCGGAGACACAGTAATCTATTCCGGTCACCCAGAGGACAAACCTGAGCCCACCGAGGGAGTGGCCATCATGATGTCACCAACAGTAGCCAAAACTCTCATGCAGTGGGAAACAATCTCCTCCAGGATAATTACAGCTAGGCTCAACTCAAAAGGAAGGAAGGTTACAATCATTCAATGCTATTCGCCTACAAAGGTCTCAGAACAAGAGAAGAAGGAGGCATTCTACAGACAACTACAAACAATTATGGACAACGCCCCAAATGGCGATATCAAAATCCTTATGGGTGATAGGAATGCGAAGACAGAACGCTGTACGATAACGGCATATATCAGGTGATCCACAACGGAAAACTCAGCGAGACGTTTGGAGTAAACACAGGGTGCTTATTATCACCCACGATGATATTCCTAATTGTGGTGGACTGACTGGATTATGCGTCAGACAGTGAGTGGGAAACGAGAAGACTGGGATATCCTGGACCGACGTGAAGAGCCTAGAAGACCTGGATTTCGCGCGTGGATGATTTATATTTGATGTCACACAAAATCGAAGACTTACAAGCGGAAACCGACAAACTGGTAGAAGAAGCAGCCAGCGAAGACAGGACTCCAGGTGAACATAGACAAGACGGAGGTGATGAAAACAATCAACCAACAACAACAACAACAGCGGCAGTTACATCCACCGCCAATCACCATCAACGGGAGGGATTTGAAAGAGGTTACTTCATTTACTCACTTATCTAGGGAGCATTGTCTCAACTAAAGGAGCAACTGACGAGGATGTCAAATCCAGAATCGGGTGGGGGCGAGAAGCACATTCATCAACCTGAAATCAATCTGGAAATCTTCGTCACTCAACTCACCATCAACAACAAAATTCGGTCGGATTTTCAATACAAACAATATCAAGTCAGTCAGTTCTTCTATACGGATCAGAAACTTGGCGAGTGACAAAAAATATTTCCAACAGGCTAACTCAGACCTTCATCAACCGACAACTGTCTTCGCTCTATACTGAAGATCAGATGGCTGGAAGGAATCATCAACAAGAAACTATGGGAACAAACAAAACAAGAACCAATCGCCAACCAACAAATATGCAGGAGGGAGAAAGTGAAGATGGATTGGACACTCGCTGAGAAGGCCGCTGGGTGACGTCACGCGCGCGTCAGGCCATTGCTCGAGTGGAACCCGACAGAATGGGAAGCGGCGAGTGGGTCGTCAGTGCAAGGGTGACATGGAAGAGATCGTGTGAAGAGGAGTTGAAACAATATGGACTAGCCAACATGGATGCAGGTGAAAAGAACAGCAGAAGGAAGACAGAAGTGGCAAGTGGAGACGTGGAGTTGAAGCACTATGTCGCACTAGGAACCCAAGGGAATAATAGTAATAATAATATTATTATTATTATTATTCTGCACAAACCACTACTGTTGTTCTTGCTTTATTCAAATTCACTATGATCTTCCAGAATCCTATTTATTCTGCATGCAGATTTGTGCTTATGATAGTTGCACTGCATTTTTCTAAAGATCTAATGAACTTTTGTGATATGTGATAGCATGAAATGCTGCATATTTTGTGAACAGTTCTAGGAGGATAGTTCAGTCATTCAACCCTGAAGGAAGCAATACCTGTCCCATTGGATATTCCGAGCTATGGGGCACCCAGTTATGCAATCAGAAATGTCAATACTGAACTATTTCAGCTGTAATCGACCACATGTAGGACTATAATAGATAGATACACGAATTGATGATAGTCACTGTAAAAGTCAATTAAAAAGAGGGGTCAATGGAAGCTTTCTTCGTCCTCCAAAGCCTCAGGATGGTCGGGGGTGGGTGCCTTGCGCTGCGAGTTGGCCACCCCTCCGCACACCTCTTGAAATGCTCCCATATGACCGGGCGTCTTACATAGCCTCTCCTGAGGAAGTCCTACTCACTGCCTTCACGTGGCGGAGGTGTTTCTCACCAAAGTGAGAGGGCGAAAGCGGATGCCCGGCGCTCTCCACCGGGTTGACTGTCCATTGGATGACAGTCTAGGGGAGATGGCTAAACCCTGATTCCAAACCTCCAACGACTGGCGTATGAAGCTCACTGGAGCTCACCGGCAGACGTATGGACAAAGGGCTTGTTGGATGTCCTGGATGTCTGGCCCCATTCAAAAAGGCGTATGAACCGAACTCCGGTCACCGGCTGCCAATGGATAGTGGACTCCTTACTCCACTCCTACTGCCTTGTAGGTCACACTTGGCTGTGTAAAGGCTAGAGCTGCACTCTCAAACAAAAGGCCGAGCGATGCTGGGGACATCACTCGTACCTAATTCCCATGAAACTTCATGAACTCTCTTACAAATTGCCGCGCCTGGGCAGCGATGATTCGAGACGTTCATGAAGCCGGCTCATCCTCCCGTAGGAGATAGCCGAAGTAAAGTAAAGTAAGTAAGTTCTAGACAACATCATCAGAGCTGAGCAGTATGACAGAGGTTGAAAAAAAAGGTTTAGTGTACAGTTTCACAAAAGACGATAAAATCAACCAACCAACTTGACTAACAGGACATTTTAGCCAATATTAGCTCCAACTACAGGTGCTTAGTTGTAGCTCCTGTAGCGGATAGACCTACCCCCCCCTAATAATTTGTGAATGGAATGAAAAGTACATCTCGAATTCTTCGAATTAACCACTAATCATTAACATTTATGCGTCAGTAGTGTGCAGCACAAATATTTGTGTGCGTCGGTGGCACAGTGGTTAGGACTCTCGCCGACCATGCACATAGTCCGAGGTTCAATCCCCTGCCGACGCACACCTGATATCTATGGTCGGCCTGCAAAATTTGGGCTACGATATCACATGCTGAAAATTCCATTCTTGTGCCAAAAATACGGTGGGGAATCAAGGTGTAATCAAAAAAACCACTAGGGCTTTAGAATGTTTCTTCTATTCATAATGAAAATTGACTGATATACTCGAAGACGGGAGGGGTGCTCGAAGGGAGGGTGGGTGAACACAATTTAATTGTTGTACAACCTACCTACCTACCTACCTTAGCACGATTTTCAACAGCTTCGCACAGGACACGTGATTGTTCTTCAGCAGCACGTTTCCATGCACGCGATAAACTTCGATGAAGAGCAGATGAAATATCAACACCGAGTAGTTCTGTAATCTGTTTTACAAGAAAAAAGAAACAAAATTTTATTTTTTTTAAATACTCACATTTTAAGGTGAAAGTCTCAAAAAAGTATACATTCATTTTTCAAAAATCCACAAAGTAAACTTAAATTCATAGGGAAGCATGGACTGGTTAAACTGGAAAAGTTTACGTAAACTGGTCGATATGAGTAATCGGAAATCACTAACGGTAAACATCAGAGCATAAGAACCAAATATAAGTGATCTAAATACTACCGGACAGACATTTTGTTAATTTTGGAGTTGAGCTCATTAACGGTGTGTTCGATATAACTCAACTCAGCAGTCCGCTCCGTCCTACTTTATGGCTGTGGGCGAGACGTGGCCATTGAGAGTGGAAGACATGAAAAGGCCCGCTAGCTGTCTTTGATCATAGATGCCTTCGTTCTATCTCCCGTGTGAAGTGATGGTATAATAGGGTGAGCAGTATTGAGGTTAGTCATCGGTCAAGTGAGTCCTAGGTAGGTGGGAGGGGAAATCAATAGACGAGTTGGCTGTGAAGTTACGTCGATTGAGATGGTTAGGACATATGCTACACATGCTTAGCCTATCCATCACCTTTCTCGACTGACGGGCAATGTTAGCTGACATAAGACCAAGTTGGAAAAGACCCAGTAGTAGTCAAACCAAAACATGGCTTTATCAGTCAGTGAAATCCACAACAGTTAGTTTAAGCCAGACAGTCACAGTGGGAGGTGTAAACTTCCTGGTTAGGTTATTCGGAGTGGCAGAACCCAATGGCGGCTGGAGACAGTTGGTGATATGGCTTAAAATCCTCGCTGCCAATGGCTGGTGCAGATCCATCCACTCCTTGTGATTTCTCACATGCAGTAAAACTCTTTTGCTTTTCCATATTACCATTTTTTGCCTCATATTTCCGTTTATTATATCCGTTTCGAATCTCTTTCTACTCTCTTTTCTTGCTTTTTGTGTTATATGGAGGAGGAGGGAGTGTGGCAACTCGAACTGCTGCCGCACATCTGTACAAAGTTCTACGTTGAAACCAGTCAGTGAGTAAGGCAGTCAGCTCAGAGAATCAAGTATGAGTTCAAACCACCCAAAGTTTGGCCAGCTAACTTGGATGAACTGATAATATTATATACGGGTCAAATTCGTCATTGATAAAACTGGTGAGGATATAAACCGATAAGATGTTATTGGGATAAATTATAATCGACATTAACGAAATAATAATGATAATAAACCTAACATTCATTTAAAGATACCTAAACACTATCAGTCATTCTTCGCCACTGATCCTATTCACTACCTTCATGAGATGGAGGTGACCCCCATAAAAGTGAGATGCTACTTTACAACCGAACTGGTAGACATTCTGGTCTACAAGAGGAGCTAGAAAACCCTGATTCCAAACCTATGGTGTACATGGGGGCTTCATAGTTCAAATAGATCGAAGGACGTGTGAACCTGTTTTTTTTTGTCACCAGAAACCATGGGAACGACAACTCCATTGTCTTATGGATCAGACTGTGAAATGGAAACACTGTTTGGAACGTCTCTGCCTCCTGGACGATCTATTTATGATATGTATACTTATTTAGACGTTTCAACTAATCTTGTAATTATTATTTGTCTTTCCCCTAAACTGTATGTATCACTAATTTGAAATATGCACATCACACGTTGGTTTTGACCTTTATTATTGGCCTTTGTGCTGCCTTGTTTATTCTTTAATTGTAATATTTCTATTTGTAGTTGATGGACCCAGAGACAACAGCGGACTTGATGACACCACTACTGGAGAAGGTGTGGAAAGAGGGCAAGGTACCTGCGGATTGGAAGAAAGGCTACTTACTCGAACTGCCAAAGAAAGGAGACTTATGTCAGTGAAAGAATTATGCTCCTGTCCGTCCCAAGCAAAATACTAAGCCCCATCATCCTGGAGAGAATCAAACACGCCAACCTGGGTGAAAAACGTCGACCGGAACAAGCTGGATTCAGGAGAAACAAGTCATGTATTGATCAAATCGCCACACTACGGATCATCATCGAACAAAGCTTGGAATGGCAGTCACCTCTCTATCTCAACTTCATCGACTTTGAAAAGGCCTTCAACAGAGCAGCGTCGATCGAGAGGTGATTTGGCAACTACTTCGCTAATACGGGGTGCCGCCAACAATTAAACATCTCATCCAACAGTTGTACGACAATGCTGTATGCCAAGTAATCCCCAACAGGAGAATTACAGAATCCTTCGAAGTAAAGATGGGAGCAAGACAAGGCTGCTTACTATCGCCAATTATTTTCCTGATTGCAGTGGATTGGATAATGCGACAGACAGACAGACAGCGGGCAGTGAGAAAACAGGCATAAAATGGACTCACACAAAAAACTTGGAGGATCAGCACTTCGCCGATGATATATGTCTGATTTTCCACAAACTGGAAGATACGCATGTGAAAACCAACAAGTTGACAGAAGAAGAAGCACCAAAGATAGGAAGGACTACAGGTAAGCATAGAGAAAACAGAGGTGATGAAGGTTCCTGGGCGACACCAACAGAAACAACAGACAACAATCAGCATAAATTGGAGAAATCTGAAAGAAACAACATACTTCACCTACCTGGGAAGGATAGTTTCAACTACACGCGGGAGGAACTGATAAGGATATCGAAGCAGGGAGGATCGGGAAAGCATGTCAAGCTTTCATTTCAATCAAGTCTGTGTGGAGGTCAACAGCACTATTCAGCATAAAAATGAAAATAAGATCCGGATTTTCGACTCCAATGTGAAGTCAGTGCTACTTGCTATACATATCAGAGACTTGGCGCGGCGTCATGAATGGCACTTTGAACAGGCTACACACCATCAACAGCTGTCTTCGCTCAGTAGTCAAGATCATATGACCAGAAAAGATCAGCAACTAGAAGGGATCTCTGGCAATGAGTGAACCACCCAGGAACCGATTATGCAACAAATAAGCAGGAAGAAATGGAGGTGGATTGGCCATACTCTGAGGAAACACCATCAAGTGACATCTCTAGACAAGCCATTGCTCGAGTGGAACCCGGAAGGGAAGCGGCCAGTTGGTCGTTCAAGGGTGACGTGGAGGAGGTCATGTGAAGAGGAGATGAAAGCATGTGGGCAGACTTGGAGAGCCGAAGGCAATGGAGACGTGAGCGGCTGAAACCCTATGTTCCTCTAGGAATTAAAGGAAATAATAATAATATTTATGGTTGTGTGTACATTGACATTGTCTTGTTTAACAATATGAGTTTATTAGAGTGAATAAAGGTCACTCCGACCTGCGACTGTCTGCGGGAAGCCGTGGTGTGTAATACTTGTGAACAGGATAGAGCTTTTAATCCCACCTCGTTGAGAATATTCGCCTCTTCGATTCTGACGTACTTTTTACAGTTCTAATGTTGTTATTTTTTAAATAGAACCGCTAAAATATTGGAGACTAATCGTCTTTTCCCTGCATCTGGAACGTTTCCTGATATTGCGTGTGTCTCAACGAAGTTTTGTCAGCTATAATACAGTAGGACGTAGAGATCGGCTTTTTGTGTTCAGACTATAACCGATTAAATTTGGTTGTTAGACACAGACTTCAAGTCAAATACTCGAGTGTGCGGCGTCCCCTTTAGGGCAACCACTTGCTCTGGTCTGGGCGTCCGGGCGGCAGTAGTTCAGCCCTCGCAGAAACTATGAGATTTCATGAGGCGCATCTGCTGGTGCCCATAACATACCAAGTTTGTATTTTATCAATAAATAAACACTATGGTGTATTTGTGCGTCGGTGGCACAGTGGTAAAATGCCCGCCAACTACGCAGGCGGTTCAGGGTTCGATTCGCCACCACTAGACGCACTCCCAAACCTCGCTAGACCAGTAACAAGACTGTTAAATAGGGAAGGTTGGACACATGAGGCTAGCAACCCCATCCAGGTAAAAACAAACTCCAATGATACCTAAACTTCAAGCCTCTAGCTCCAAGCCCTATGTTCCACTTCGGGAACGTAAAGGAATACAAAAAGGTGTTTGATTGGTTATTTTTCAGAGTTTCTTGTTGCTAATTCTTCCTCATCGGCTATCTGATCTTCAGTATGAAGACAGAGAAGGCAGTTGTTGATAAAAGTCGGCAGTAGGCTGCTGTAAATGCTCTTTATGACACGCTAAACTTCTGACCCATACAGTAGGAGAACTAAATGACTCAACATTGGTGTTGGAAATTTGAATCTTGATCTTCATACAGAGGGGTGAAGAAGATTTCCAAACTGATTTCAGAATCATGAATTTCTGTCTTGTTTTTCTGACTCTGGCTGGTCCTGTCCTGACAGCCTCATATCCGTGGAGTCGCCTGTTATTCAAACGACGCTGCCTAGATAAGTGTAGGAAGTAACCTCTTTCAAATATATTCAGTTGATATTGATTAGTGTTTTACCTACTTCTTACTTACTTACTTACTTTACTTTACTTCGGCTATCTCCTACGGGAGGATGAGCCGGCTTCATGAACATCTCGAATCATCGCTGCCCAGGCACAGCGATCTGATGCAAAGTTTTGTGACAGGGATATCCAGTTCTTGTTCCACAGACGGAGTCCGTAGACGGTTTGTAGCCCCAGCCCAGGCACTCCATATCAGCCTTGACTGTACCAAGCCATGTTTTCAGCTGTCCACCCCTGCGACATCGCCAAGATGGAAATGGCGAGGAATTTAGAACTGATTTGACCAGATCGTCATCTGGTCGGCGCCAAACCACCGAAGGCGACATTGTTGGACCAGTACTGGAATTCGCGTCGCTTACCAAGAACGCCGTAGCATGGTGAGAGTTGTTTGTAAGAGAGTTCATGAAGTGTAATGGGAATTAGGTAGGAGTAATGTCCCAGCATCGCTCGGCCTTTTGTTTGAGAGTGCAGCTCTAGCCTTTACACAACTAAGTGTGACCTACAAAGCAGTAGGAGTGGAGTAGGGAGTCCATTATCCATTGGCAGCCGGTGACCGGAGTCCGGTTAATACGCCTTTTTGAATGGGGCCAGACATCCAGGGCATCCAATAAGCCCTTTGTCCATACGTATACCGGTGAGCTTCGGTGAGCTTCATACGCCAGTCGTTGGAGGTTTGGAATCAGGGTTTAGCCATCTCTCCTAGACTGTCATCCAATGGACAGTCAACTCGGTGAAGAGCGCCGGGCATCCGCTTTTGCCCTCTCACTTCGGTGAAAAACACCTCCGCCACGTGAAGGCAGTGAGTAGGACTTCCTTAGGAGAGGCTATGTAAGACACCCGGTCATATGGGAGCATTTCAAGAGGTGTGTGGAGGGGTGGCCAACCCGCAGCGCAAGGCACCCACCCCCGACCATACTGAGGCTTTGGAGGCTCACCTACTTCTCCTCAATATTTATTCGAAATCCTATCTTCTCTGCTTCTTCTTCTTCTTCTTCTCCTTCCAACTTGTTGGTTTTCACCTGCAAGTCTTTGGATTTATGTGGCATAAATCATCCGTGAAGTTCAGATCTTCTAATGTCTTCTCATCGGTCCAACGTATTCTTGTCTTCTCATTTCCATGTACAGTCTGATGCATAATCCAACCCACTACAATTACGAGTATCATTAGTGGTAATAAGCAGCCTTGTGTCTTACTCTTGAATTCACTCCAAATGCCTTAATGAGTTTCCATAAGTATAAAACTTGGGCACTGTGGTAGAGTATAATTCCATTATAGATAAGATTTTATTTTGATAAATCGCACAGTGTTCAGTTCATATAACTGTAAACACTGTTCGATTTATCAAAATAAAATCTTATCTATGATGGAATTAATGAGTTTCCGGTTGTGAACCATTTGATATGTGTGTTTGTCATATATATATATATATATACCTATTGAACGAAGTTTATGAAGAGTTGAGGCATTGTACATCATAGTGTTAAAGTAGTAGTTTCCAAATTATTTCGTGGTGAACGATGTCTGTCGAATGCCTTTTTCATCAAAGTCGATGAAGTTTTGAAGTAGAGGCTTCGACTGTCAAGGTAACACAGAGTTGAAACAAACAGCCCACTTAATGATGTGGTGAGAGCGCGCTGCAAGTCGAAATTAATGTCACTGTTTACGTCCCGAAGCAGAGTCGTGTGAAAAAAAAAAACAATAACAAAGCCTAACCTTGAGGAAATCGCCAGCCAATCACATCGGAGTTATTGTGTGGAAATATGATTCACATATATGTGGCTTAACACTATCTAAAAAACGGCCACACAGAGATGACAGAATAACCTTCAGCAAGAAAACAACCAATCAGAATACGCTATCTCTCTGCTAACAATAACGAATAATAATGCACATAAAAATCTATAAATATCTGTTGATTTTCTCAATAAACGATCTGTTGTCTGGCTCTTGCCTTCTGTCGTAACAATGGTAGCGTGTAGAGGAAAATCTTAAAATGTTGTTCTCCTTCTACTACTGTTTTATCTATTCAATCTCAGTGTATAAACAGTGTGTCATATGGTATTCACAGACTGTTTTGCTTTGTACTACAAAATACAATCCTTTTTATTTTGGTAAAAACAAAAACAAGACATTCATTACAAAAAGAACAAATCAATAAGAGAAAAACCAATCTACTGCTGTTTATGAGGTGAATGTATTATCAACTAGACAACATACACACACACATACATACAGCACAATAATCGATACACTCAGGTCAAGTATTTCGTACAGGATATTATATATATATATATATATATATATATATATATTTGGAAAGCATCGATGCTGTGTTAATAATTGATCCCACCTAACTTCGTAAATTTTGAGCCATATCGCCAATTGTCCCCAGCCGTCATTGGCTTTAATCATCCCGAGGACCCTAACCAGTCAGGAAGTCTACACCTTCCTATGTGGCTGGTTGGCTGGCTTAAACCGACTGTTGTGGATTTCATTGACTGATAAAGCCATGTTTTAGTTTGATCACCACGCGCTAGCTTTTTTCCAACCTGATCTATCCTATGTCAGTCAGCTAACATTGCCTGTCAGTCGAGTAAGGCGATGGTTAGGCATGCGTAACACATTTCCCAACCATCTCAATCGATGCGACTTTACAGCCACCTCGTCTATTTATCCCCCCCTCCTTAACTAGCACTCGACCACCGATGCCTCATCTCAATACTGCTCACCCTATTGTAACAGTTCACACGGCAGAGAGAACGAAGGCATCTATAATCAAAGACGGCTAGCTAGCCAAGCTTTTCATGTCTTTCATTTTCAATGACTATACCTCAGTCATATAGGCGGACGCAGTGAACTGCTGAGCAGTACACACGTCCTTTGGTCGATAGTCAGATATCACATCGACACCAGAGATGGCGTACGTTGGCAAATCCCGCACGTGCCTTCTATATCCGTGCTGAGATTTCGTCAACGATCAACCCGCTGGCGTTGACTAATGAGACTTCCCAAATAAGTGAAGTGGTCAATACGCTCCACTAACCACTTCACTCCTTCCTATTTATAGGCTAAGAGTCAATGTAGTCTAGTCTTGTAGCATCATCTTACATTTGACAGCAGAAGCAAATCGCATGCCAAACATTCGCAGATTGCAACTCAAGGTGTTCAGAAGACTATACCGTCTGCATGTTCTAAGTCAACGAGATTATACCCTGACAACAACAAGAACAACAAGCACCAAACACTATCAACGGAAGTAAATTTGAAGGAGATCACTGCCTTCACTTATCTATCCAGCAGCATCGTTTCAACTATGCAGCCAACTTTACACGCGGATGGCGTCAAAACCAGGAACGCAAAGGTAAGACAGATATCGATTAATTCTTAAATCAGTTTGGAAATCCACTGAGCTCCTCAGCATAAAGAACGAGATTTCAGATATACAATACTAATATCAAGTCAGTCAAAATAGCCCAGGAAGAATTGGCGTGTCAACAAAGTGATTCCCCACCAGGCTTCAAACTTTCATGAACAGTTGACTGAAAGATCAGATGGCCGACCAGAAAGGATAACTAACTATCAAGGAACTCTGCAAGGCACTTAAAACCATCCAAGAATCTATATAGCCCAACAAATATGCACAAGAAGACAGAGATGGGTTGGATATTGCCCGCCAAGTAAGCCCTCGACAAGGAATCCGAATGTGAAACAACGAGTGGGACATGGAGGGGATGGTATGAGGAGGTGAGAGCTTAAAAAGTAATCGCTGAGTCGATTAAAGACGACTGAGGAAAAAACAGCATGAAACAGAGATGTTCTTTTGAAGCTCTCTGATCCATTCAGAACTCAAACGAATAATAAGAATAGCTACATTACAAATACACATATGCAACACTCACCTTATCAGAATGTGCTTTAATTCGTTGAGCTGCATACGCCATTGAATAAAAGGATACAGCATGACTATCAATGAGGAGAACACGAAGTTGATGACTGAATTTCTCTGTTTCATCTAATGCCCAACTGTAGAATTCTAAAATAGGAAATATTAACATGTTACATACAAGCCAAACTGAGTAGTTAGTCAGTTAGTTAGTTAGTCGGTTAGTACTCATCTATGCAGTACAAGTTTCTAATGTACCAACCAGACTATGAGCTATGTATGCTATGTAGGGATTGATAATACTAGTCAGATGTCCAGAGAGAAGTAGGGTGAGCAGGATTCGAACTCAAACTTCTAGTTGAATAGCATGTAAAAGAAGATGGCGACGACAACAGCCTACAATTCCTAAAATAACTATTCAGACAACTGTGGTTTGAGCTACTGGTAAAACTTATCAGTAGTATATAAACAGAGACGTTCATCGGCATAAAAACATCGAATAACAGGCAGATACATTTGAGTTCGGAGAAGTCAAATGACACGACGTTGCAGAGATACATGGGAGGTCACACGAAAAAGAGACACAGTATGAAGGTCAGAAGTAGTGTGGTGAAAGCAGGCTGCTAGCCAAATTGGTAGACAATTATTTACGTCAATGTTTGTGTCGCAAATATTGGTCGTGAAAAAATATGAATAAGACTGATTCAACAACCAATCACAGCAGACTTGGCGTAGATAGATACAGTTAACATATAGATGGCATGACATTCAAGAAACAGTCAAAAAGAGATGCAAGGTCAACTTTCTGTGAGAAACAACCAATCAGAATAGTGTGTTTGTTTGCTTGAATAGGCTATAATAATGTACATGAAAATAAATAAATACGTGTTGATTTCCTTAATAAAGGATCTGTTGTCTGGCCCTTGTCTTCTGTTGTTACAGTAGCACAACACGGAAGGTCCGTGAAAAAATAGTGATTTGAAGATAAGGTGTAGATAATTTCGCTACATAGAGCTACCAAATTGCGAATAAACATTCCTTCACTAAGTCTCTCTCATCTTACCCAACCAGTCTCATAGTAGACAATGCGACACCACACTAATCTTAAAAGCCTCACACACACATATTTGACATGAGGACGTCTCGTTTGCAGTGATATTTACTCCGAGAACAGATCTTGAACATGCATCAGTGCATAAGCCATATTTTGATTGGACACTAGTAACTAGTGTGATGTGTCTAGTACTTTCTTTGGTGCAGACTGAATTCTATCAGTCAGCTTTCGCAATGTGACCACCATTCTAAGTAGCTCACCATCACGGTGCACATTGGTTGGATGATATATATCAGATAGTTGGAGGCGATCGGCAGGAAGGCCTCCTCGGATCTAGGTTTCTTACTAGTTGGCACTTACCATTCAGCAAGTAGGCGTCTCTGCAACCTTGAAGGAAGTCATGACCCTTCTGAGATTCGAACCCGCGTCACCCAGTGCCACCTGCAGTCAAAGACATTACCACTGAGCTATTCGGGCTCGCGATTGACCTCCTGTAGGACTGTAGTGGATATTTTGATTGAACACCAGTAACTAATGTGATGTGTTCAGTCCTTTCTTTGGTGCAGACTGAATTCTATCAGTCCGCTTCTGCCGATGAAACGACTAGTTTAACAGTAACAATTCAGAGTGCACTGTGTGATAGTGAGCCACCTTTTAGACTTGACTAACTGATAGAATTCAGTCTGCACCAAAGAAAGGACTGAACACATCACACTAGTTACCAGTGTCCAATCAAAGTATCTCCTACAGTCCTACAGGAGGTCAATCGCGAGCCCGAATAGCTCAGTGGTAATGTCTTTGACTGCAGGTGGCACTGGGTGACGCGGGTTCGAATCTCAGAAGGGACATGAGTTCCTCCAAGGCTGCAGATACTCCGCCTTGCTGACTGGTGAGTGCCAACTAGCACGAAACCTAGATCCGAGGAGGTGTAAAGTAACTTGCTTGATTAATACTACCTAGTTGTCCAAGATGAAGCGGACAAAGACAACCTGGAAGACTGCTGACTGAAAGTTAAAGTTGTTTAAGTCAATGAGCCATATCTTCATATGAAGCATACATAACTACTTTAAGAATCATTCCATAAGAAATGAATTCTTCAGCACAATTAATAAATAAATAGACTTTCAATTATTGGTTTCTAGGGATTTGATTGGTTGGCTACAGGATTTCACCATGAGCTGACATTACTTAGAGAACCATTGGAAAACATGAAGGAAGTAATGAACAGCCAACCGTTTCGTCCTAGTTTTGTGACTCTTTATCAGCAAGCACCCACACCGGTTATAAGACAGGCTCGTAGACCATTATAAGCCAACTGAGACCCGATCCAGTGACCAGCCAGCCCATGAATTCTAACTTCTGACGATTCATGACATAGCGCTACAGCTAGCCAATGTCTTCTCCGAGTATTCGTCGACACACACTCGACCAGCTTCACCCTACTGGCCACGACTTCTCACTACCTACTTGAATAGGGCCAGTCGCCAGTGAGCGTCTCATCAATATTTAAGTATTGGTTTGTAGGGATTTAATTGATCGGTTAGAGGATTTTCTAATGGTTCTCTAACCAATGTCACCTCACGATGAAATCCTGTAGCCAAATAAATATATATATACACACACACACACTTTACTCTGACAGTGAAACCATAAATGTGTTTGTAAACTTCGTTTCTTTTTCATTGCTGCAGTACACTAATCTTAGTAACTAAAATGTGAAAACGGCATACTACACCGTTAACTGATATAGACTGAAAAACAGTTAACTAGCCCTGGCTTTGATATAAGAATAGAACTTGTGCACTGCAATGGTAGAGTATAATTCCATTATGGGTAAAATTTATTTTGATGATAAAGTCTCACATTGTTTGTTATTCAGTAATATTGACTTCTGATGAACACGTTTCGAGCACAATTCATTACTCCTCATAATCATATCAAGTTACTCACACACTTTCCAACTTCGTTAACATGATTACACTACTTTTAACTTCTTGATTCGACTGGTATTGATATTTTCCATATCTCTGGTATTTGAGTTGAGTCACTTCTATCGAGCATGTGTTTTGTTGGTTGTAGACTCGATGAAATAGGCAGGATTTAGTAATCAACTTCTTTCTATCTCCTCCTATTTTTATTACTTCTTAGGATCTTAACCCTCTCCAACTCTATTGTGTGGTTGTGTGTTAATGCATGCATGCAGTACAATGCAGTGCTCAAGTTTTTTTCTAAATTACTTATCTCTGCGGGTAGGATCAATTATTCTATCCTTAGCTAAATTCTTATGTTCCGACAATCTGACTACCCCCGACCTACTAGTTTGATCTATGTTGACTTAGCTCACAGTCATTGCAAAGTATTCTGCGAATTTTTTGTATTTTGTCTATTTGGGTCATCCGACAGGGCCCTTTATCCTACAGAACTTTTCCTACCTGAATGAGTTCGTAGGCTTGAATGCCACCCTAATTCCGTCTTTGTTAAGAATCCTACATCGGGAGGGTCTCAGTTGTCTCCTATCTACTTATAAGGTAAAACTACAGTAGATGCCCTATATTCTCTCTGATTTACGTTATCATTACTAGTTTCCCCATTATTTTCATTTTGCTTTTGATTACACACCTAGGTAGCGCGCAAATAACACTAAAATGTCATGCGTCCAGTTCTTGGTGTAGGTGAAGACTGAATTCTATCAGTCAGTCAAGTCTGCAAGGTGGCTCACCATCACACAGTGCACTCTGAATTCTAATTGATAAACTAGTCGTTTGATGATTTGATGATATAACCTCATGAATATTAACCTATAACTGCCTCAGGGAGGAGAAATAAAGCTTTACATCCCATAATTAGATTTTATTGACTGCCTAGTCAACGATATTCTGAATTGCCCTTTGTTGATTGATGATTTATTCTTTGGTCAATACTCTACATTTAAATGATCTACGTACACTTTCGTCTTCCTTTTTGATTCCTACCTGACGACTACTGAGTGGTCAGTGAGCTCACCTGGTAGATAAAAGCTCTTTGATTTGACGAGTGGGTGGGTTACTTACAGATGATAGTGAGAGAATCGCTGACCAGAATAAATAAGGCAGAGTAGCCAAAGATTATCTCTGACAATTCAATAAGATTAGTGTTAATCACTGGTCATTTCAGCCTGTAAGAAAGAGCATAAATCATTCTCACATAAATACACGACAATTGACTTGCATAATATCAATGAAGAAAACAGTTAGAAGTGGTGTGATCAAAAATGGTATCAATTCATAAACTCACTAATTGTTGCTGTGACTCCACCAGCTAGGTGTGAAGGCACCTTTTCTATTTAATGCCAACACTAAGTGTAAGATTCGAAATGACGCCCCATCCCCTACATCCATCATTTAACCTCTCGATTATTTCTGCAATTCCAATTTCCTTTCACAAAACAATCATAATTATTTAATTCAATTTTAGATTTTCCCATCGATTGATTGGACCGAAGTGCTCGATCTCAGGTTGACATGTCTGTTGGCTTCTTGTGCAGATGCTTCGACGATGTATGGGTATGTAATTAAAGGTTAATTGGTGGATGGATGGTGACTAGCAGTGGAATCCAGCCATAATGTGCATTTCGTCCTATTTCGGACTCGTCAACTGGATGTGTCTGCATTCCGCAGTAAATGATGATGTTCCCACCGTTTGCGTTTGAAACTATGGGCACTAGGGTTCGAGCCCCGGTAAGAACATCATCACTTACTGCGGAATGCGGGTACATCCAGTTGGTGAGTCCCAAATGGGACGAAATGCACATCCTAGCTGGATTCCACTGCTAGTCACCATCCACCACTTAACTTATAATCATAATTATTCCTTACAGGAGCATTTCTTTGTATCTATTCTCTTCTTTTATTTGCGTTTTTTTTAAAAAAAATACTTGGCAATCTGAAATAATGCGAATTTCAACCTTGACTTATTTGCCTGTCTATCTATCCATTCATTTGAAATAACCAATCATCGCGCTTAGATTTTCAGGTGAGGGTTTGCACGGATTTGATTGGTTGCAAATATGATTGTGAACTGACTTCAGCTAGAGAACCAGTGAAAACCAAAAGGCATTAAACAGCTGCTTCATCCTTATTTGCGACTCTTCAGCGGCAAGCACCCATGACCTTAGTAAAAATAGAACCCAGCACTTTTAGATTACAAGGCGAACGAACTCGTATTTCATCGAGACAGTGAGACAGAATTCAAGGGCTCATCAATTCCAGTTGGCGACCGCTACCTACCTAGTGTCATCAGTGAGTATCTGTCCTCACGCCGAACTTGGTGGACTCCACTGACCACTTAAAAACTATTAGAAGACGACACCATAAAGCTACCTGAGGAAAGTAAGCTAGACAGCTCCCCCTTCTGTTTTCGTACTTTCCAATGGTGTCGTTAATAACACAAATTAATAATAATAATAATAAAACCTTCACAATTCAAAACCCAACCACAACTTACTTAAGGAGCAAATATTTTCAAATTGTTGTTTTGATACACCCATAGATTTTGTAGCAAGAATTTCACCTAACGGTTCAACAACACTTTGACGCCATTCAGCCAACGTTTCAGCTAAATTCCGATGAAATGTCAGTGATAGTTTATTCAGATAGATCAGTTGATTGCCTTCTTGATGTACACCATGTGTCAGTGCTTTAGTCATTACTTGTGATCGATAGACTAGAAATAATTCAGCTGCAAGTGTAGCTTTACCAAGTAAACCTAATTGAGTAACAGCTGATTTCACAGATTTTGGTGCACCTGATGACGAAAAGAGAAGAGGAGAGGAGATTAGCATAATAAACATGAATGTGTACTATACCATAATAAATAACCGGGATAATTTGAGGAAAGAAACTAAGAAGTATCTTCATCCTATTATATTTAGATTATAAAGTAGGAAGAGGAGCAGACATTAGCCTAGACCACTATCGCGTACAAGGAAATATTATAATTTTTTTCCTTCACGTTCCCCAGTGGAACATAGGGCTCCAGGCTATTAGCTTGAAGTTTCTGCAGCAGGGTTTATTTTACAGGATGGGGTTGCTAGCCTCATGCCCAACCTTTCCTCTTTACCGGCATTGTTTCTGGCTTAGCGAGGTAAAGGAGTGCGTCGGCCGGGGATCGAACCCCGGACCATGTGCATGGCCGGCGAGCGTCCTAACCGCTATACCACCGACGCCCGTACAAGGAAAACACCAAATCAAATTCAAAACTTTCCAAGAAACAGGAGCTGCAGATAGACAAGTGGAAGATATGCAAGTGAAAGACAAGTTGGCGATCGAAGAAGAAGCATCGAAGATAGGAAGGACTTCAGGTGAACATAGAGGAAACGGAGGTAGGTGATGAAGACTCCTGGCCGACAGCCACAGTAACAACAACACAACAATCAGCACAAATGGGGAAATCTGATAGAAGTAGACTCCTTTAGCATTTTACATACCTACCTACCTACCTGGGAAGCATCGTTTCAACTAAAGGCCGATGGAACTCATGAGGATATCAAAGCGAAGATCGGAAAAGCAAGACAAGCTTTTATTTTCTCAAGTCTGTGCGGAGATCAATAGCACTGAACATGAAAAACAAGTAATAAAGGTTTTTTTGTATTTCCCAATGAATGAAAAACAAAACGATATTGCTTTTACTGACATTTCGCTATTCAAACCGTTAAAAGTGAACTTGGTTTGGACGTATATAATTTAATTAAAAACCGGATTACTCTATCGAAGCATGAAAAACAAGATTCAGATTTTCAATTCGAATGTGAAGTTAGTGCTACTTACTACACGTATCACAGACATGGTGCCACGCCACGCCGCGTCAAGAAGGGCACTTCATACAAACTACACACTTTCATTAACAGATGTCTTCGCTCAATGATCTTGATCCGTCCTATATCAACTAACATCACCTGTCAATCGAGGATGGTGATGCCTAGGCGCATACGTAACACATGTCCTCTCCTCCCTCCTTACCTAGTACCTGACCACCGATGACTAACCTCAATATTACTCACATTATTATGCCAGTAACTAACATGGGAAATAGAACACCACAGCTTCTGTATCAATTCTGAGATTTCGTCAGCCAAATCAACCCGTTGGGACTGATGACTGATGAAGAAGAAAGTAGAAGAAATACATAATAGAGACAGTAAACAGAGGTGTGAGACAAAGGAATAGTGATAACGAAGAACAATATAGTTTCATTGGAAATTATAAGCCCAATGAGTGGATGCATCTGCGCCAGCCATCATTGAGAACAATTTTGAGCCATATCACTGATTTTCTCCAGCCATTAGTTTTTACCGTCTCGAGGACCCCAACCAGTCAGGAAGTCTACACCTTACTACGTGGCTAGCTTAAACTAACTGTCGTGGATTTCATCAACTGATGAGGCCATGTTCTGTTTTGACTGCCGCTAGCTCTTTCCCAGCCTGACCCTATGTCAGCTAACATTGCCCGTCGAGGAGGCACTTGGACAGCTGATTTAGGATTCCTCATCATCATTACCTACACTTTGTTATCTGAAGGTTCAGGACTCGACCTCAGATAAAGAAACGAAATCCTTAGTCATATAATGAATGAATAAAAAGTATTTAAAAAATAATAATAAATCATAAAGATATACACATACCATGTCTACAAGCAGCTGATATTAATTCATATTGTAATGATTGTGTAAGATTGCATTCATTGCGTTCAATACGTTTTGATAATTTCTCCCAATCTGTTTTCAATCTATAATCAACTGTATCAGATTGTTGACTTTGACGAATGGAACTTCTTAATGATGAATTCTTTGCATCTTCTTCTCTAGACGGTTTCGATATATTTTCAGTAAGTATTTGATTTAAAGCTTCTTTAGCTTTAACAATTAAATTTGTAGCACGTAGAAAATTTCTTTCTGATATTGCGACGTCTAAATCTTCTGGAACATCCCATAGCCAATTATGACGTGATTTATGCTTGCCAATATTTGTAGTGTGAGATTTTATATCTGTCGATTTTAAATAATTGAAAAAAGCAACAAAAAAAATTTTTTTGAACGATAGTGAGAAGTTACATCATAGAGTAGTAACATAAGTAGAACTTTTTGCCACTCTTTTGCGTTCCAAAAGTGGAACTATGAGGGTTCAAGCTTTTACAGATAGGATTCTCAAGAAAGCAAGAATTAAGGTAGTGGCGTTTAAGTCTACAAACTCACTTAGGCAGCGGTAAGCTCTGTAGGTTAAAGGACCCTGTCGGTTGACCCAATAAGACAAAATAATACAATTTAGAAAATACCCTGGAATGACTGGGAGTGAGGTGAACTACATAGGTCAAGCTAGTAGGTCAGGTGTAGTCTGATTGTCGAAACATAAGAATTTAGCTAAGGTAAGAATGGTTGACCTTTACCCGAGAAGATAAGTAATTTAGGAAAAACCTCATCAATTGCACTGCACTGTATGCATTAACACACAACCACACAATAGGGTGGGAGATGGTTAAAATTCTAAAAAGTAATATAAGCAGGTGGAGAGAGAGGTTGATTACTAACTGAATCGTGGTTCATCGAATAATCTGCATGCAACATGTGCGATACATCTTAACATTATTTATTAATCTCCGATATGACTGGTGATGATATCTTCCACATCTCTGGTATTTGAATTGAGTCATTTCTATTGCGTATATGTTGAGTGTAGAGTCGATGAACCAGGATTCAGTAATCAACATCTCTCTATCTCCACCTACCTATATTGCTTCATAGAATTTAAACCCTCTCCCACCTTGTGTGATTGTGTGTTAATGCATGCATGTAGTGCAATTGCTGAGCTTTTTTTCGAAATTACTTATCTTCTTCGGTACAGGTCAACCATTCTTTCCCTAGCTAAATTCTTATATTCTGACAGTCTGACTACTCCCTGACCTACTAGTTTGACCTATGTAGTTGACTTAACTCACAGTCATTGCAAGGTATTCTGCAAATTATATTATTTTGTCTAATTGGGTCAACTGACAGGTCCTTTAGCTTACAGAGCTTGTCCTACCTGTTAAGGTATTTCCCCCCTTACCCTTAATTTGAATCATGCCAGTAGAAATTGACTATTTAACATACCATATCAAAATTTGGGATTTCCGAAATTGTATTCATTGAAAACTAAAGCAAAGTCTCCATGGAGTGATTCCAGGTTTTAGTTTGACCACCACCCCCTCACTTAATCCTATGTCATCTGGCATTGACCATCAAGGAGGACAACGATGGCTTAGCATGAGGAACACGTGCCCTAGCCATCTTAATCGATTCACCTTCACAACCCGATTGAATACCCTACCCCCCCTACCTAACACTCAACGCCTAACCTCAATATTACTCATTTTTGATGGCCGAGTCTCACAGCCAATAAAGAAGGATAGAATGAACTGGCCAAGACGTGTGGCCATTGAAAGTGGAAGATATAAACTGACCACAGATGTCTGTGCTCTGTCTGTCGTGTTAATTGGCATAGTACGTTTGTATGTGTCGTAGTCTATTACGGTCGTTTTACTGACCACATCATGTTGTTTTCATTCCCTCACGTTCCCAGTTGAACATAGGGGGCGTCCAGCCAGTGGCTTGAAGTTTCTGTAGCAGTGGTGTTTATTTTTACAGGATGGGGTTGCTAGCCTCATGTGCCCAACCTTTCCTCTTTACCAGTCTTATTACTGGCTTAGTGATGTACAGGAGTGCATCCAGTGGCTGGGAATAGAACCCCAGAGCACATACGCGGTCGGCGAGCATTCTGCCACTGTGCCATCAATGCATATATCATGTAGCTGACATATAAGAAAAATGAATTTATTTATAAGGACAACAAGGTGTAAGGAAGATAACTTACTGTCCACTGAATCATCAAAAGGATTCTTTTTCGTTGATAAGTCTAACTGATCAAGAGGTGTTAAAAGGTCTGCACAGTCGGGTAGAGTAGACGACAACGCCTTATGACCAGCTAGAGTAGCTTCAGCAGATACTTTTGGCGGTAGTATTGTTAACTTCATAGCATTTGTATTCAAACTGCCTGCAGATGTATCTGAGATACTTGTATCATATCTTAGATTTGGATCAGTATATGACTGAGAAGTTCTATGCTTACGCATTGTTGCATCCAATAGAGTGAGCCAACGTTTCTAAAAAAGAAAAAGGAATTAAAACATATTCATCATCAATAAATCTGTTGCTGTTCTGATTCCCGTTAGATAGTTCTTACCTTGACGTGGTGGTGGTCGAGTGTGCGTATCACAATGACCCAATGTGAGCTACACTAGGCCCTACCATACCAGCAAGGTTGTTTGCATAGCTATTAAACCAAAAGCAGTTACCGTCATAGTGTAGACTGTGCATACTATGCTGGGGGTCTGTGGGCGAAGTCGTACTGCTTAAGAAACAGGGGTGTAAAACAGAGGTAAAGTGTTTCCCTAAGATGATCAGCAGCATGCCAGCTATACTTCTTATTCTCCCTGGACAGCGGGAATTAGAAGAGGTCGCCTTTGAAAACTAAACATCTTGACTTACCCTGCGGCGGTCCGTAGCCGTTGGTTAGGTCTTAATACGGATGCCAATCCAAAAAGGCCATGTATGACCGATATCAAGCAGTTGTCTCCTAAACTTTGCAGTGACGCGATACTAATTATATTTCTGTATCAGATGCCCCAAGAAAAAACCAGCCTCCGTGGTGTGGGGAGCCCGGGAGTAACGAAACTCCGCCACACACACACACACATCTGAAAGCTCACAAAGCCCACTTGATCACCACTTACTGTGTTTTAATTATCTAAAACAGCTTTATTATTTGTGTAAAACAATACGAGTTGAAGACATGAAAAGGTTGACTGCTTTCGATCATAGATGTCTGCGATCTCTGTCTCACGTTAGGTGGTTTAATAAGGTAAGTAATGTTGACGTTAGGCGTAGAGTGTTGGGCAAAGAGGGAAAATCAATCGACGAGGCTATAAAGTTACATAGACTAAGATGGCTAGGTCACGTGGTGCGCATGCCTAACCACCGCCTCCCCCGACGGGCATTGCTAGCTGATATAGGTTCAGGTTGGAAAAGAGCCAGTGGTGGCCAAACAAAAACATGGAATCAATCCATGAAATCCTTGACAGTTAAACTGAGTCAGGTAGGGAGATGCAGACTCCCGGGTTGGGGCCCTCGGGACTCTAGGAATCAATGGCTGGAGACAATAGGTGACATGGCTCAAAATCGTTGTCAATGGCGCAGATGTATTCAGTCTCTGTAATCTTTCACATTTCTTTCTACCATTACCCATTCTGTTTCGCTCTTATACCTGTCAAACTCTATTGATTCTCTTCACTCATCTTCTTGTCTACCTCTGTGTGCTATTTGGAACGTGGCAACTCGAACTGGTGCACTTCGGTGCCAAGTTCTATGTTGAATCCAGACAGACAGTAAAACTTGGGCACTTTGGTAGTAAGTAATTCCATATCAGTTTGTTTATTAGATGTATCACACAGTGATGAAACAGTATTATTTACTGGATGACACGGTTTTGAACAATATTTATTACTGTTCATAATTATTTCATCAGTTATAATCACACGACTTCGAGACTTAAGTTTTATAGTTTTCTTTGTCTTCTCCTATTTGTTGTATAGGTAGTAGAATTTTCCAGATATCTGGGACAGGTGTTAAATCATTCCTATTACACGTATTCTCTTCAGTTGATTCGATAAACAAAGCTTCTGTTACCAATCCCTCCCTCCACCCTTTTATACTAGATTTTAAAATTGTCAACCTATCCCATCCTATGCTGTATCGTTGTGTGCAATTGCATGTTGTGCAGTGCTATAGCTGAACTATTCTCCAGATTTCTTACCTTATTCGGGTCAACTAATCTAGATTTTGCTGCTAGGTTTTTATGCTCGGCTAGTCTGACTGACTGTCCCTGTTCTACAACTTTAACCTATGTATGCGACCTAACAATCATTGCAGGCAGGGTATTAGATAAACTAAATTTCGTTTTAAAGGCTCCATAGAATCCTCTAACCGACAAGGCGTGTTTCTAAGTGAGTTTGTGGGGGGGCGGGGTTAAATGCCAGCCACTTTTATTCCTGCCTACATTGATAAGAATTCTAAGTAAGGTTTCCGAGGTTCCTTCCTTGTATAGAATTACTACTGATGATTTAGATACCTTATTGTTAAGTATCTTTAGTTTGGAAAAAATGGTGTAATCATCAGCACGATACTTGAAACTGAAATAGGGAAATCAGTAGACTGGCAGACTGAAATATTGCCAAGAAAAACCAGAACTTTCTTCTTAGCATTAAATCATTATCTTAGTGAATACCATTCTATTTACAGATGTCAAGCATACCAGTATATGGCATAAATCCATCACTGGTAAACATATCCATGGGGGAACAAGTATTTCAACTATTTTGCACAAAGATGACTCATTGTATAAACTAAACAACACCAAGGTCTGAATTGAAGCAATCTTTTACGGAGAAGTAACTGACAGAGCAAACCTGTCTGTTTTCGGCATAGAACTTTGCACCGATGTAAGGCAGTTCAAGTCGCCACACTCCCTCATCCTCCATGTAGCACACAAAGTAAGGGAAGAAAGTGAAAAGAAATGCAAAATAAAGACAGTAGACAAGGATATGAGACAAAAGGAATAGTAATAGAGAAGAACAATATAGTTTCATTGGAAATTATAAGTCACAAGGAGTGGATGCATGTGCGCCAGCCATTGAGAACGATTTTGAGTTATATTACCAATTGTCTCCAGCCTTCATTGGTTTTTACCATCCCGAGGACCCCAATCAGTCAGGAAGTCTACACCTTACTACGTGGCTGGCTTAAACTAACTGTTGTGGATTTCATTGAATGATGAGGCCATGTTTAGTTTTGACCGCCGGTACCTAATTCTTTTCTAACCTGATCCATCCTACGTCAGCTAACATTGCCCACCCGTCAAGGAAGGCGATGGCTAGGCTAAGCATACGTAACACATGTCCTAACCACCTCAGTTGATCTAGCTTCCCAGCCTCGTCTACTGATTTCCCCTCCCACCTATCTAGCAATCGACCGATGCCTCACCTCAGTACTGCTCACCCTAGTATACCACTTCACACGGGAGATAGATCGCAGGCACCCATGATCAAAGACGGCTAGCTAGCTTTTCCATGTCTTCCACTCTCAATGCCCAGGTCTCGCTCAGAGCCATAAAGGAGGACGGAGCGCACTGATGAGCAGTACACCCGCCCTTTGTTCGATACCCGAATATCACGCCTACTAAGCTAGAGACGGCGTAAACTGGCATATGCGAAACTAGCCCTCTAAGCAAACCAATTTCTATACATGAATTCATCAAGATGTCATATGATTCCGGGATACATTCATTGATCGAATTCCCTCCTTACAATATTCCCAGAATCTCTCGATAGAATTAATATACGCTCCATCATAAGGGTCAAGAAAGTCTAACCAACGATGTGAATATATCCCAACGATGATGACTGCCAGTAACCACCACCCTGCTCATCTATGGCAATAGTAATTGGAGCAACATCCACACTTTAGTTGGAAATTCTTCCTAGAGGTCCTTCTCTAAAAGTCGTATCGTATAGGCAGTCCATGACTCAGGTTTGTTTGGGCATGCTATCTCCCACAATTATCATAGTGGTGGTGGTGTGATACAGACAATGCGTTCCAACAGAATATTATACTCACAATAAGAATCATTGTATTTGTTGGTGTTAACGAATACTGAATACTATTCCCACAGTTCAGTACTACATTAGCAACAGAATAATATATACGTATTTTATGTCATTTGATGTAAACCACAATCACACGATGGCTCAGTGATTGGTTAAAGAATATAAAACTGTATAGAAAGAAATAGTTGTTTGATCACTTGAAAATATATACCTTGGATTCCGTGTCTTGCCTTCTGCTTTTACCATACTTTCCTTTTATAAAAACAATTTATTTTTATTACCACTCTATTACTGTTTATGAATAACATTGCTTTTTCACACAGATCTTATACAAAACTACTTTATAGCCTTTCCATTAGTTTATATTCATTCTACACTAGCTTATTGATTAGTCATTATCTCAAACTTATTAGGTCATGCCAACTTCTGTCTCCTTTCTAACTTACAATTAGTCATCCCTTCTTACACCCTATGCTACTGTCCATCCCAAGCAAAATACTAAGCCCCATCATCCTGGAGAGAATCAAACACGCCAACCTGGATGAAAAACTTTGACCGGAACAAGCTGGATTCAGGCGAAACAAGTCATGTATTGATCAAATCGCCACTCTACGGATCGTCATTGAACAAAGCTTGGAATGGCAGTCACCTACCTATCTCAACTTCATCAACTTTGAAAAGGCCTTCGATAGTGCAGCGTCGATCGAGAGGTGATTTGGAAACTACTTCGCTACTACCAAGGGGTGCCATCGACAATTATACATATCATCCAACAGTTATACGACAATGCTACACGCCAAGTAATCCACAACGGGAAACTTACGGAATCCTTCGAAGTGAGGACGGGAGTGAGGCAAGGCTGTCCATTATCGCCAATGATCTTTTTGATTGCAGTAGACTGGATAATGCGACAGACAACGGGCAATGAGGAAACAGGCATAAAATGGACTCACACAAAAAACTTGGAGGATCTGGACTTCGCCGATGATAAATGTCTGATTTCCCACAAACTGGAAGATATGCAAGTGAAAAGCAACAAGCTGGCAGAAGAAGCATCAAAGATAGGACTTCAGGTGAACATAGAGGAAACAGGTGATGAAGATTCCTGGCCAACAGCAACAACAACAGACAACAATCAGCCAGCATAAATGGGAGGAACCTGGAAGAAACAACCTCCTTTACCTACCTGGGAAGCACCGTTTCAACTACAGGCGGACGGAACTGACGAGAATATCAAAGCCAGAATCGGAAAAGCAAGACAAGCTTTCATTACTCTCAAGTCTTTGTGGAGGTCGACAGCACTCAGCACCAAAAATAACATCCGGATTTTCAACTCCAATGTGAAATCAGTGCTACTTACTGTAGGGACCAGAGATTTGGCGCGTCATAAAGAGCATCTCAAACAAACTACAGACCTTCATCAACAGTTGTCTTCGCTCAATACTCAAGATCAGATGGCCAGAAAAGATCAGCAACAGGGATCTCTGGCAATGAGCAAACCAACCAGGAACCGATTGTGAAACAAATAGGCAGGAAGAAATGGAGGTAGATGGATTGGCCATACGCTGAGGAAACCATCAAGTGACATCACTAGACAAGCCATAGCTTGAGTGGAACCCGAAAGGGAAGTGGCGAGTTGGTCGTCAGTGCGAGGGTGGGGTGACTTGGAAGAGGTCATGTGAAGAGGAGATGAAAGCATGTGGGCAGACTTGGAGCGGGGTGAAAAAGTTGGCAGAAAACCGAAGGCAATGGAGACGCGTGGCTGAAGCCCTATGTTCCTCTAGGAATAAACGGATATAATAATAATAATAATCTTACACCTCACATTACGTACTACAATTTTCAAGGACAAAGTTTACCAGTATCTGATTGGTCAATTAATTATAATTACGATTGTACAGCTCATGAAAATGAATCGTCGAAAAGAAAATTTTCTTCGCTGTTTGTGCCTTTTTCTTATGACTCAATATGGAGATATTTCGTTCATTGAAAAACTATTTCGTCGATGTAAACAATCACACCTGGTTCACCAAGATTACACGTCATGCTACCCATCTCCCGACAGGTTAGAATATCGACAGTGCTGACATCACTCTCTATATTGTGGATGTCATTGTGCTTTCCGCAACAGTAGCACTTACTGATTGTAGTCGCTTAAGAAGTCAATCAGTAGTGGAGAAGGTGAATTCCATGAATATTAATCCATACGGAAGAGCTGACGATGAACAACTGCACGTTCGTTTTAGTCTCTATTCTTTTCAGCTGACCATCATAGATTTTGATCCATTTTGCTTTTATCCATAGGTTGAAGCGAATGTGCTGACGGCTGTTCATACAAGGCAAAGTTAAACTTTAAGCACCACTAACTAACTACCAATCAGCGAATGACTTCGAACGCACCAATCACGTGAAGGAGGCATTTTTGAGCATGGAAATATATATATTTATGAAAAAAACGCATAAAAACTGTAGAAAAGTGTTCCAGATGATACCTTCCTCTCACATGTGATAAAAAAATAGCCCTCAGTTTTAGTTTGGAGTATCAACAGGGTGTAACTCCATTGTGGGTAAAATTTATTTTGATAAAGTTTCATAATCTTATACAGTAAATATTTACTAAGCAATAAATTGTGCTTGAAACTTCATCAGTAAATATTACTGTATAGCACCCTGAGAGTTTGTCAAAATAAATTTTACTCACAATGGAATTATACCCTACCACAGTGCACAAGTCCTATTCTTATATCAACAGAGAAATTCCACCACATGCTATGCATGTAATCTTTCTTGAACCTAACCCTAACGTGAAAATATCACTAAACTAGCTAGAACCAAGCCTACTTTCGCTTTTGTGAGGTTAACCTAACCCTAACTTATCTTTGGCTTAAAGAGTAATTTAATCTTTCCCAAACCCAAGCTGAAACTTGACAAATATCCCATTTAATAACGTAACACATCGATGAGCATATTTTATTCATGATGACAACGTTATTTGCTGGATTTTATTAACATGCTCAGTGAGTGTCTCAAGGTTATTGGTGCGTATGCACTCCATTGGTAGTTAGTGGTGCTTAAAGTTTAACTCAGCCTCATAAAACTAGACATTTCCTGCAAACAACATTCAGCATGATCTTCAAGGAAAACCTCGACAATATGGTTTGAGATTTCGCCTTCTATTCATTATTCAAAATAGTATGACACTGGCTGCTTATTCACCTAAACACTCGACTTTCATAGCCAGTAGATCCATAGAGTTCGAGTTCTCCTTCGTTAACTTCAGCCTGAGGAACTGGATAGTAATTATCATCATCAGTCTTCAACACAATATGCATGGGACTCATACGCCCAGAGTTAACTAAGGTCTGTCTACAAGAGTTGTGTAAATAACGATGCTAACCTCAAAATACAAAAGTTTAGTATTCAGGAAAAGTAAAAATTATAATCCTAATGCTGCTTACCTTATCACTAGCTGTTTCTGCTTGAAAAAGACGATTCGATGGGAATACTAACAATTTGAATGTATTCGGCGGAATATTTTGTTGTCGATCACCAGCAGTAGGAAAATTTGCAACAGCAAAATTATTTAGATCATATGTTGTTTGAAGACGATATGGATAAGAACTGGAAATAGAAAAGGAAATGTATAAGAAATGCTTCAAAACTTTGAAAATATCGATTTGGAAATGGGAAAGACATACCTGTACCACAAATACTGTTTGGAATAAAGCTGTTATTATTATTACTATTTAGGAACTTATGTTCAACTTCTATTCACAACCTTCAATTACCTGTTCTACTTGTTCTACACCTTTGAAAGCTAAAATCTCCGTGTTCAATCACCGTTCCCTTCGGAAAATTGCTTGCACTCAGTGGCATTATTATTTAAGTCATTCTGAAGTCCAACAACGTGTCTGTCAACAAAGTGGGAATCGTCCTCCAATAAATGTTGCTATTTTGTAGTTTCAGCTTCAGTACCTTGGATATGTACTAGGAATTTCATCACAGCAGCTGTTTTACCGGGATGGTCAACCTATGACGTGACATCATAGGACTGAAGATAATTGCTTGAAGTTAGCCTCTGTTAGTACACCACGACTCCCTAGGTGAAGTTAGAGAAGTGATGAGCACCCGTGGCTCGAGGTGTTACCAGATATCGCTGAGAATCGTCGTCAGTCAGTCAATCACTTCTACTAAGTGGGTCAGAAGGGAATTTTTATCAATAGCTGCCTTCACAGGCTGCATATTGAGGATCAAATGGTAGTCAAGGAAGGACTAGTAGCAAGAAACTCTGCCACACAACAAACCAATCAAGAACCTATTGCTCAACAAATATGCCGTAGGAAATGATGGTGGAGACCGCCGGGTGATATCTCGCGCTAGGCCTTCACTCGATTGGAACCCGAATAGGGAACGACGAGTTTGGTGTCAGTTTGAGGGTGTCATGGAGGTCGTACAAGGAGGAGATAGGAAACCATGAGAAATCGTGGAGACACCTGAAGCGGGTCGTAGGGAATAGGACTAAATGGAGATGTACAGCTGAAGCCCAATGTTTCACTCGGAGCTTAAGAGGACAATAATAAACTCCTATAACAGGAAAATAACTTCTTCACTTTACACGTATTTGGAGATTGTATGTGTACACTGTTCACACACTGTAAGAATTACGAAAGATTATAATAATAATATTCTATGTTGAAACCAGCCAGCCAGTCCAAATTTAGCAGACCGACCATCGATATCAGGTGTGTTTCGGTCGAGGATCGAACCACAGACTATATGCATGGTTGGCGAGCGTCCTAATCGTGGTTGTGCTACCGACGCGGAAGTTCTGAGGGATTATCATTCCCGTTGATGCGTTGCAACTTTTTGTGTGCGACGAAGAAGTCAGACACCACCCAACTCTAGATATTATCAAATATAGAGCATTTGAAGCCAGTCGTGACCATGATGGAGCCGTTTTGTTTCTTCTTTTATGTAGGTAAAGTAATAAAAACTGACGACGGCTTTTCTTTGAACGGGCTCAAATATTTCACCCTATTATTCATACACGTTGGGGCCAAATTTTCCTACAGTTCGCTTTGGAAACCAAAATTATTCAGATCATCACAGTATGTGATCTGCTTGATACCGTAAACTGTCATCAGCAAAGCAAATAAAAGTACATGAACCTATATACTACTGATTAATTGAGATGAGTAGTTATGTACTACTTAACAGAGTCTCTGATGTCAAAATTGAGAACTGAAGCCCGATTCTTTGATGGTGTCGTCAATAGTTTGAATAGAGTATGCTGGATCAAATTCATCAATTTCATACAAGAGCTTCAACAGAAAACACGTAAAATTGTTATAAAACTCTGGCGAAATCCTGACGAAGGAGAAAATATATGACGTCGCAGCTCTATTCAAAAACCTTTTCTATCAGTTGAATGACCTTAGTCCAGTTGATGAGGACAAGAAGAGCTGGTTCAAATCTAAGCTTGTCGATGTTGCAAATCAATACCTCATTTCACCAACATCATATTCCAAATTCCCCTTTGAAGAGCATCAAAACTCATTGAAATCTCTCAGAAATAATGGCAAAATCGTCATACCGCGACCTGACAAAGGCTCAGGGGTGGTACTGATGGATAAAGATGACTACGTAGCAAGAATGAAAACAGTGCTGAATGATCCGTTAAGGTTTAAAGTCGACGACTCTCAGAAAGACAAGGCAGATGCAGCTGAAAAACGCAATACAAACATACTGAGAGATCTTCTAAAGAACAAACTTATAGTAGCGCGATTACCAGACATCTCCTCGACACGGGTCATGAGGTGGAAATCGAGAAATCCTTTAAATTAATAATAGACAAAGCAGCTTCATTCTCCTCAAGTTTACCAAAGCAATTTCTATCAAGCGTTTGAAACCAGATTTATGTGTTCAGAAAGAAGCAGTTATTAGTGGTAACTGAATGTCTTTATCTTCTCATCTGATTACATAATCTTTGTTTTTAACCTCACCTCTTTCATAATCTGTGATTTTGCTTGTCTCTTGTTTCTATGATTTGAGTCGAACTCAGTACATTGTTACCTAATTTATTAGTCACTCTGTATCTAACGCATATTTCGTCTTTATTGCGTAACTCCTTTACCATTGTATGCATACATTTATTTTGTTTAAAGTTGAACTGCCTGTGTAAAAACAATATAAGCACAATTTTCTGAGCACTGTTCACTTATTCTGGAACTTTTGTCAACTGACAATATGTAAAATTTGCAAGTATGTTAAAACGTTTCTGTACATAAACCTCATAATTTATTTAGGCTGGAAGCAGATGATGAGAAGCCAACGGAATAAACAATGATGGTACAAACCACTGCACAAGCCAGTGTTGTTCTTGTTTTGTTCAAATTAACTGCCTAGGTTGGAGTTGTAACGACAGAAGACAAGAGCCAGGAAACACATCGTTTATTGAGGATGACCAACGGATATTTATAGATTTTTATGTACATTATTATTCGTTATTGTTAGCAGAGAAGTAGCGTCTTCTGATTGGTTGTCTTCCTGCTGAAGGTTATTCCGTCATCTGTTTGTTGCTGTTTCTTAGAGAGTCTGGTGATATATCTGCGAATCATATCCACCCACGCAAAGTTTTATGTGATTGGTTGTTGAGTTAGTCTTTGGTATTGTTTTTTTCTCACGACCAAGATATGGGAAGTAAACATTGGCGTAAATTGCTGTCTACCAATTTTGGCTAGCAGATAGTTCTCACCACGGAGTAAGTGGAACAGGGTGGTTTCAAACTCTGAACACACTGATCAAAAGTTGAATGCTTACACCAATAAGCAACATCCCGCCAACGTGATTTAACCAGTGTGTATCAACCACAACAGAAAACTACTGTCCGAATGAAAAGAGTTCAAGTATTATGTATAGTTCCTTCACTACCAGAATATAAAATTACACAGGCGTATGCTTGTCAACAATAAAAAAAAGAAATTATTACATAAAAATATTGACGTAATAGAGAAGAAAGAAAAAAATGAACTTACAGACCAGATTGACTATGATATGCAATAACCAAGGTATCTGTGAGTACAAACACTCTAGCCATACATAGGAAAGAAAAATCATTCATACTTAATTCACGCAAATCTCCATCGAAGATAACACGACGACTTGAATCACCGACTAAAACCTAAAGAATAACAGAAAGAAAGACAGAGTGTGTAATGTAGGAATTAAAAATATATACCATTCATTCCTTCTAGTACAGGTGAAACATAGATTTTCAGAGTAGTACATCCTCGTCGCACTCGGTTTTCTGTCATCACTTTTACCACGCTCGACGACTATGCATAAACTTTCGCTTCATCACCATATGAACTTCTCCATACCACCTGCAGACGTTCAACTTGTCGCTTCTAAATCGGGTTTTACTCAACACTTTAGGCATGTGACGTTAGTTGAAAGTCTCCTCAGTGTATCCCCAATCCATTTCAAATACCTTCTACATATTTGTTCGTCATTCCTCTATCACAGTAACCTGTAACTTATTCCTCCTGAACATCTGATCGTCGACATAAACCAAACACATCTGTTGGTGATAGTCTGCAGTCTATTAGAAATGCCCCTCATGACGCGTGCGCCAAGTCTCTGAACACTATATGGAAGCAATTATTTGACATCGGTGTTAAAACTTCTGATTTTCAAGTAGTGGTTAGCAGGGATTTGATCGATTGGTTACCTTGGTTCTAGTGGGAATTCGTAACCAGTAGGGTGCAGTAGGTCGGGTGTGTGGACATATTCGCCAGCAATGACATTGGCCAGTGGCTGCGCTATGTCGTGAATTGGCAGAAGTTAGAATTCATGGGCCATTGGGTAGGGTCCCACTGGCTTAGAGGTCTAAGAGCTCGCTAGCCTTGTAACCAGAAGGTCCTGGGTTCGAGCCGTGGCGGTGGGTGCGTACTGATGAAGAATCCCAAACTAGAACGAAACAGCTGGCTATCCAGTACTCCCTTCAGGTTTTCCAACGGTTCTCTAACCAATGTCAGCTCATGATGAAATCCTGTGACTTCTGATTTTGATTCTTGGGCTAGGCACTGGAGATCTTCATACCGGATTCGGAGTAATGAACGCTTTTTATGCTTTTCCCAACGTGGCTTTAATGCCTTCATCCATACTGCCTATAGTCAAAACGTTGCTCTTCAAGTAAGTGAAAAGGATGTTTGTTTTTGTGTTTAACCTCGATTACCTCAAAAACAGATTTTGCATGCACCCGGCTAAGAGCTTTATTTACCCAGGCTGATTTAGGTGGAGGAGTACTCGAACACGTGACCGATCGACTGAAAACTCTATGTTGACCGAAAATCCTGCCTTCGCTACCTCTTCACGAGTAGCAGCACCACACGACAACCACATACGAGCGATTTCGATATACAGTAAACAGTGTATGAACGGCCTAGTTACAGTGCGATTATAGAAAATGAAGACCAACATAAAATTGAGGCCAAAATTTACGTTTGAAATTGAAATCTATGAATACACAAAAAGATCAAGAGGTACATAGAAGTACTGGAATGAAATTTATACAAGGAACAGTTCCACTGCCATATTAGGCGCCAATATATGTATGATGAGAGCTGTCTGCAAGCCAAAATCGGTAGAGAACAATTGACGTCAATGTTTACGTCCCAAATCTTGATCATGGGAAAAAAAACAAGAACAAAGCCGAACCTTGAAGAACTCAACAACCAATCACAGCAGACTTAGCGTGGGCGGATACGATTAACAGATATATCGACGGACTGTCTAAGAAACGGAAACAAAGGCATGACAGAATAACCTTCAGCAAGAAAACAACCAATCAGAAGACTATGCTTCTCTGCTAACAATAACGCTAATAATAATGCACATAAAACTCTATAAATATCTGTTGGTTTTGCTCAATAAACGATGTGTTTCCTGGCCCTTGTCTTCTGTCGTTAAATATGAGTAGTAACCGAGCATTTCAGTTTTATCAATAGAAAATTCAAAATAATAATTTAAGTTTAGAAATGATGAAGGAGATTTTCAGCTGTAGTAGATGTGTTGTCTAAGCTGAATAATTCATTTTGCGCAACTTTCATAGTCTTCCTAGATAACATATTCAGTGCAGACTTTAATATTAACTTATACATTCATCAGTAAAAATAGGCATATAAATTCAAATACTCCCCCAGAAAAACTTACTGAAGCACCCTCAACTAGTTCTGCTAAACGACCGACTGAAATACCAGCATATTCACTGCGTAAAACATTTCCAGACTTTTCATCATCTTGTACTTCAGATGAAGCACGATCTGAACATGTATCTGTGATGATATCTTGTTATTCAGAAGAACATGGAGAAAGAATAGAAAATTAGGCAAATAAGTCGACAGATTGCACAAGATTCGATGAAAATTCTAAAGGTAACACAGTGTATTATTTTTAATGCAATTTAGATTTTCCCGCGGATTGATTCGATCGACTCTGTTGACATGTTGGTTCCTGAGGCGGACACTTTAACGATTTCTGAGGACTTACTTGAAGTATGAGGATGATATACACATCCTAGATTCCACTTTTGGTTATCAAACAACAAAAACTACTCCAAGTAAGACTATATTTACTACTCGGATATTTTGTGCGGGGACTCGAAACTACACCCATTCCCCAACTGAAATCCTTTTCGACAACTGACTAGTGATACCCTCAGTAACATGATAAATAATGAGAAAACGTCTACAAAGACATCAAAGTGTGTATGTGAAATGTAGGTACACTGCATGCTTTGGATATCTGTCTGCCTGTCTGTTTTCGACATAGAACTTTGCACATATGTGCGGCAGCTCAAGTTTCCACACTCCCACCTTGTAGCACACGAAGCAAGAGGAGAAAGTAGAAGAAATGCATAATACAGACAGTAAACAGAGGTGTGAAACAAAGGAATAGTAGTAACGAAGAACAATATAGTCTCATTGGAAATCATCAGTCACAAGGAGTGGATGCATCTGCGCCAGCCATCATTGAGAACAATTTTGAGCCATATCACCAATTGTTTCCAACCATTGGATTTTACCGTCCCGAGGACCCCAACCAGTCCGGAAGTCCACATTTTCCTACGTGACTAGCTTAAACTAACTGTTGTAGATTTCACTGACTGATGAGGCCATGTTTTGGTTTAACCTCCGCTAGCTCTTTTCCAGTCTGACCCTATGTCAGCTAACATTGCCCGTCGATGTAATTTCACAGCCTCGTCGATTGATTTCCCCTCCTTACCTAGAACTCGACCGGTGCCTATCCGCAATATTGCTCACCTTGCTATACCATTTTACACGGGAAAAAGAACGCACGCACCTATGATCAAAAACAGCTAGCTAGGCTTCTCATGTCTTCCACTTTCAATGCCCAGGTCTCGCTCACAACCATAAAGGACGACGGAGCGGACTGATGAGCAGTACACACTCCCTTTGGTCGACAGCCAGCCGGATACCACGTCTAAGCCAGAGACGGCGTAAACTGACATATGCGAAACTAGCCCTCTGTCTCCGTGATGAAATTTCGTATGAGATCAATCCGTTGGCGTTAGCTGATACAACTTCCCAAATAAGTGAAGCGGTCAACGTGCTCTACCACTTCACTCCCTATTTCTAAACTAGGAGTCAGTGTAGTCCAGTCAGTCCTGTGACATCATCTTACATTTGATAGCAGGAGCGAATCGTATGCCAAACATTCGTAGATTGCAGCTCAAGGTGTTCAGAAGACTCTGCTCTATTTTGTCAGCGTCATCACCTAGAAGTATATCGTCTGCCTATTATAAGTCAACGAGATTATTCCCTGGTAGCAAGTCAATCCCTGTGTCTCTGAAGTGAGTTAGGGTTAAGTCCATCAGTACATCTATAACGAAATTGAATAGAAATGGGGATAATGGGCATCCCTGACGGACACCACTAGTCATCACCACTTTAGGTGACAACAACAGTGTCAATAGTCGTCATACAGATAGTGTGGCACAAAGCTCATTACTGGGTAACTAATTTCTATCAAGCTAAATAACTAACTATCCTTAATATTTCTCTAATTATCGCATAAACGGTAAAGTCTATTAATACTTGATAACTTAACTATATACATCACTGAGGACTTTATGTTACTTTCATTTCCTATCAATAACTCGTCATTAACGTGATAAAAGTATGTCCAAACCCCATATTTTAACTTATATACTTTGGATTTATTCAAGTTGTTAGCAGTAGGAAATACTCTATAAGAGAGTGAAAATGAGCTCATATTATATAAAGCCACACTAGTTGTATTCGCTTTGTTCAAATATTGGGGAAAAATCGCTGAAAAGACATTCTCTGTTGAAGGTGTCTTCACTCGAAACACGGAATAATTACGACCAATAACTTAATTATATATAAAACTAAGAAATATGTATTCAATCAGTCTAATCTGGGCAACAAATAAATATATAATACCAGAATAAATAACATAAATTAGTTATCTTACCACCAAATAAAGATACCTCCGTAAGAGCATTTATTACACGTTGCTTTTCAGTAAATTCATTATGAATTTGATGCATTGTATTTTCTAACTGGCTAGCAGCTTTACCAGCTTTAATGAATAATTTGTAATTTTCGAATACTGCACGTTTCATCTTGCTGGACGCATCAGTCGACATGATGTTAAGCTTATCAAGCATACTGATAGTAGCTGCATCTCCATCTTTGAATACATTCTTAGCAACTAAAGGATAAAGATTATGAAAAATCAAATCAAATTTACAAAATACAAAGGGATGAAACATCTAAGTTGTTTGTCATAAAATTAAAATTTTGGGTAGTAACAATATCTTACTGATAATCAATTGAGAAACTGTAGGAAATCTTTATAATCAATATGTGGGAGTCCATGTAGTTCTCTGTTCAAAAAAGGGTATACATATGCAACACAGTAGTAGATTTTATGTCTGTCTGTCTGTTTTCGACATAGAACTCTGCACATATGTGCGGCAGTTCAAGTAGCTACACTCCCTCCTTGTAGCAGACAAAGCAAGAGAAGAAAGTAGAAGAAATCCAAAACAGAGACAGCAGACAGGGATATGAAACAAAAGAATAGTAATAACGAAGAACAATATAGTCTCATTGGAAATCATAAGTCACAAGGAGTGGATGCATCTGCGCTAGCCATCAGTGAGAACGATTTTTAGCCATATCACCGATTGTCTCCAGCCACCATTGGTTTTTACTGTCCCGGGGACTCCAACCAGGAAGTCTACATCTTCCTAAGTGGCTTAGACTAACTGTCGTAGATTTCATAGTAGTAGATTTTAGATCATACCAACCAGAGTTTCAGATGATTTATTGCTGGCATCTTGTAAAGTTTGACCACATAGGACGTAATCATATAAATTCATTCATTGAGCACATCGACTGACATCTAGATGTATCAACCCAAGCCTGTGTAATGGGACTGGAATGATAATTTACTAAGATGTATAAGTGGCCAAAAAATCAAGGATAGGTAAATAATCAAAACCAATCAATTTCTGTCTGTCTGTCTGTTTTCGACATAGAACTTTGCACAAATGTGCGGAAGTTCAAGTCGCCACATTCCGTGTAGCACGCGAAGCAAGAGAAGAAAGTACAAGAAAAGCAAATAGAAACAGTGAGCAGAGGTGTGAGACAAAGGAGTAATAAAGAAATACAAAACAGTTTCATTGGAGATCATAAGTCACAGGGAGTGGATGCATCTGCGCCACTGAGAACGATTTTGAGCCATGTCACCAATTGTTTCCAACCATAGATTTTTACCGTCCCGAGGACCCCAGCCTGGAAGTCTACACCTTCCTACGTGGCTTAGACCAACTGTTGTGGATTTCATTGACTGATGCCAAGTTTTTGTTTGACCGCCGCTAGCTTTTTTCCAGCCTGACCCTATATCCGCTAACATTGCTCGTCGAGGGAGGCGATGGCTTGGCATACGTAACACATGTCCTAACCATCTCAGTCGATGTAGCTTCACGACTTCGTCGATTGATTTCCCCTGTTTACCTAGAACTCTACGCCTAACCTCCATGTTGCTCACCTTATTATGCCACTTTACACGGGAAATAGAACGCAGGCACCTATGATCAAAGACAGCTAGTCTTTTCATGTCTTCCACTCTCAGTGGCCAGGTCTCACAACCATAAAGGAGGACGGAGCGGACTGATGAGCAGTACACCCGCCCTTTGGTCGATAGTCGAACATCTCGTCTACGCCAGAGTCGGCGTAAACTAACAAATGCGAAACGAGCCCCTTGTATTCGTGCTGAGATTTCGTCAGAGATCAGCCCGTTGGGGCTGATGGTACTTCCCAAATAAGTGAAGCGGTCAACGTGCTCTACCACTTCACTTCCTATTTTTAAACTAGGCGTCGATGTAGTCCAGTCCTGTAACATCATCTTGCATTTGGCGGGAGCGAATCGCATGCCAAACATTCGTAGATTGCTGTTCAAGGTGTTTAGAAGACTCTGCATTTCGTCAGCGTCTTCGCCTAGAAGGACTATATCGTCTGCATATTCCAAGTCAACGAGATTATTCCCAGGTAGCAAGTCAATCCCTGAATCGCTGAAGTCACCTAGGGTTAAGTCCATTAACACATCTATGATGAAGTTGAATAGAAAAGGAGATAATGGGCATCCTTGACGGACACCACTGGTCGTCATCAGTTCAGATGACAGCTCGCCGTAAGCCCTCACCTGGCTGTATGAGTACGAATAGAGTGCCTTAATCAGTGCAATATATTTTCTCGGAATTCCCTTTACAGCCAAGCATCTCCAGAGAACTTCCCGATCGACAGAGTCGAATGCTGCCTTTAGGTCAAGAAATATAATGACTGTTGGACGCCGGTAGGAATGCCTATGTTCTAGAATCTGTCGGAGGGTGAAGATATGATCAATACACCCTCTTCCTGGTCTAAAGCCTGCCTGGCTCTCTCGTGTTTGTGCTTCCCGAGCACCACTCAGTCTACGCATGATTATTGAGCCTAAGACTTTAGATACTATATTAGTCAAGCTAATCCCTCTGTGATTATCACAGGAAGACTTGTCTCCCTTCTTGTATATGGGGATAATCAGTGACTTACACCAACCCGATGGGACTTCTTCTGATTCCCAGACGCTGCCTAGTACCTCAGTTAATCCGGACAGTAAGCTGTCTCCACCGTACTTAAATACCTCTGGAGTCATTCCATCAGGTCCCGCTGCTTTGCCTAGTTTCAGATTGGTGACAGCTTTAGTAACCTCAGTTAGTGACGGAGGACCTGTATCTATATCCCATTCAGGGAGGTGTTGGATGCTCGGAAGGTTGAGCGTGGCTGTGGGCAAATTAAACTGCTCCTCATAATGCTCTTTCCAACGATCCAGTCGTCTATCCTGGGAGCTAATTATAGTGCCATTTTTTTCCGAGATTGTCTCACTAATGATTTGTCTTCTCCCACCCGTTTCCCTGATGAGTCCAAAGAGTTGCCTGGTGTTGCCTATCCTCGAAGCTTTCTCCATCTCTTTGGCTTTTGTCGCCCACCACTGTTCACGGTCCTTGCGGAGACTTTTCGTAAGTTTCCTCTTGTGCAGCTTTCGCTCCTCATTGAATTCGGAGCTCGCCGGAATAAGTCTTCTAGCATCTATCAGTTCGGATGAGGCGGTGGAGATCCAGTGGTTTTTACTCACCTTTGGGTTTACCTTATTCACAGCTTTTACAGCTGTATCTATGGCTGCCTGGATATTTTTCCAAGCTTCTTCAGGGTGAGCACAGCTGTCGAACACAGATATGTGTTTAGCTAGTTCTTCCTCAAATACGGATTTAGTTTCCTGATCGAGCTGGGGACGTGATGGTTTTACCGCCAGCTGTTTCCTACGTCCGTTCAGTCGTAAGCACACCCGAGCGCGGACCAGTGCATGGTCGGTATCTACGCACGTGTTCCAGAAGGAGCGACAATCTCCTACCGACCCACGCCAACGATAGCTTATTGCTATGTGGTCTATTTGTGTCCAGCGTTGGTTTGATGAAGGGGGTCTCCAAGTCAAACAGTGTCTCTCCTTGTGTTTGAAGTTAGTGCTTACAAGAAACAAATGATTATCAGAGCAGAACTGTAGGAGACGGTCACCGTTGTCGGTTCGCTGGCACGGAACTCCATAGGTGCCACCGACATCCTTCTCAGATTGACACAATTTCCCTACTTGAGCGTTAAAGTCACCAGCTAGAACGACTATGTCTGAGCGTTTAGCCTTTCTCACCAAACTAGACAGCTTTTGGTAGAACTCATCCTTCGTTTCATCTGAACTGCAGTCAGTGGGGGCGTAGGCGGAGATTACGAAAAGGCATCGGCGAGTAGTGCAGTCCTTCCTCCTTCTTACTGATCCGTTCAGGCGGACAGCACACATTCGGCTATCTACCGGGATCCAGTCAAGCAATGTCTTTTCTGCCCTAGTACTCAAAGCTATCCCTACGCCAGCTAATCCTCGTGAACTAGCTGTGGCATCTCCTGACACCCTCAAGGTGAATTTTGCAGATTCAACCTGTTGGCCAGGTGGGGTTAGGTGAATAACCACACTTGGGTCTTGTATGCGTGTTTCTGAAACACAGCATACATCAATGGCTCGTGATGCCAGGGTCTTGGCTAGTGATGCTTGTTGTCCTATTTGGCAAAGTGTCCTAACATTAAGAGCTCCTATATGAAATTGGTGGCGCGGCTTTAAGAGGCTGTCGGTGGTGGTTTTTTGGCTTCCATCGTTTTTAGTGGACGCAGAGTGGAGAGGAAGTGGAGAGCTATCAAGTCGAGGAGTTGCATCAGTGGAAGGAAGGCAAGATGATAGAGATGAAGATGAAGACAAAGATGAGTGAGTAATAGAGAGGTTTCGTGTGCATTTCGGATTGTGAGGGCGATTGTTACTTCCCGGCTGCCCACACCGTGGAAGTTGGTTGCGTGACCGCAGAGCCCAGGGGACAACTGCTTGAGGCCGGTCACACGCGGCCTGTTTTTGTTTGTTCTTTGTTGTTTGGTGTGTCTCAGTAGCAGATTTATCACTCCCGCCCTGTGACACGGCAGCAGGAAGCGCGGTCGTTGTTAATCCGGGCCACGGCCGATCCGGCATGAAATTTTGTAATTTTGTATTGGACATGATGTTGGATTGGGTAGCTGCTTTTTGTTTAACCGCTATCCAAACAACCTGCCTGGCATGGTAGAACCTCAAGAGACATAAGTCTCAGCCAGTATAGCTTGATTAGGTCATTGCGGTGTTCAAGCCCGACCACCACGTCAAGGTAGCAGCTTTCGGATGATGAGTAAAATACTCTTGGGCAAACGCGCTGCAAGGGGAGATCATAACGATTATGAGTTATCAATTGGAATAGAGTGCTGCAAACCAACTAGCGTATTTTCATGCAGCCTACAATGAGCCACGCCCATTCTGTGAGGGCTAGTGATATTTTATTTTTTTTCCTAACATTGCTGATTACAGCTTAATTCCACACCATATTTTTGGTACAAGTATGGAAATTTCAGCATGTGGCATCGGTAGCCCAAATTTTGCAGGCCGACCATCAATATCAGGTGTGTCGTCGGGGGATCGAACCCCAGACTATTTGCATTGTCGGCGAGCGTCCTAACCTCTGTGTCACCGACGCTGCCCGAAATTCGGTCAGTGGAGAGAGAGAGAGACTGGAGACCGTAACTCAACAGCTGACATTTTACGTAACTATAATCGGCAGTGAGTACAGTGCGATTCCCCCTAACTGAAATGATAGTATTCCAGTGTTACTGCATAATAAACTAAATTAAAAATGTCTAGTTGAAATGGAACGGCAAGTAGGAAAAAGAATGTGTTGGTAGCATAATAGCCATTATTTTTTACTCCTAAATGTTGTCCTGAGAAGTTAATATTAAGACTAGCTGCACGGTCAGTACTAGTATCAGTATTAGAAGACGTTTAAATAATACAGATGTAACTTAGGACGCTATCCTCAAACCTCGGATAGATCACTTTGTTTTAAAGTTAAAGTGCCATGGCCACAGACAAGCTCTTCCAAAATTCGACCCTCAAGAGCCAATCAGATACAGGGAATGACGTGAAAGGTCAGTCCAAATAAAATCATGCTTGCATTTTGGACATGGAATAGGCAGACAAAGTATTCCACTTGTTTTCTAGGTACTTCTTCTGTAAACCTATAGAGTTAAGTTGGGTTAAGGCTTTTTAGATTTAGGTTTGGAGTTAAATTTAGGATCAGGAGTTGGGATTATGGTCAAAGTTGGGAATAGGTTGAAGAATAGTGTCAGAAATATCATTAGATGTCGAAGTACCATGACCTATAGTCACCTAGATGAACGGGTATTTCGCTCATGGTACAATGTCTCTATAGATTATCTGAGTATTGACTAAGAGACATTCCTACGACATATAAGCGACAATTATATAGTGTAGCACCATGTTTGCAGTACTTTAAGTGTGTTTTCCAACGATTAAGTGACTCTTTTTCCATATGAATCCTAACTGGTTGTTCAAGATCACAGTAGTTTAGGCTATGGTGGACTGACTTCCCTCATGCATTTTGTAAAAGCCCAGGATTCTTTAGATCGTTGGAAAAAACATGGTACTTCATGCATCACCCGGAGCACTCACAGTTTGCCTGACGTTTACTTCACAGGTTGTGAAGCGTGTCCGAAAATTATCCCTGAAAGACTGCAGGGAATCTAAAATATTAGTAACTGCGTTAGGTGACTCTTCGCTATGCACAGTGAATCACTGCCTGTGAATAAAAGTTTGTGTGTAATCGAGCAGCGATTTATTTGTCTTACATTTTTCACTGTTAAATGTAGACTTTGCGAAAACCCTGCGTAATCCTCCAATATCCGAAACCTCAGTTTCAGCTGCGTTCCGCATCTGTTTCATTTGCGCTGACATTTACGACCCTGAACTTTATGTACTACATTCAAGTTAGTGTATATCAACGAACCCGAACTGAAATTCATTTATCTGTCTGCGACACCTCTTTACACATTATTCTTACCCTTTACTCCTCATCGATCCCAATCATAAATGAGGGCCGAGAGAATTTACTGACAGCAACAAACGTCTCAGCCTGATTAAAATAATCCAATCAAGTACATCTGTTCTTCCACTATGGACAAAAAGGCTAAATAATGGCTGATACAGCAACATTGCTGACCATGTCGTGCGAATATCAAGGAACCCAACAGGAAGAAGCCACACTAGAACAAAAATGATCGGAATCTGAAAGATTCCTAGTGATAAATCAGAACAGTGTCAGACATGTGATCGAGATATTGGCGAAAGTGGAACGAATTTCGAACGCAACTATATTGAATTCACGTAATCTTAATTGGTTGAAACCTCCACTTAGCGTCGTGAACTAAATCACACGAACAAAACACTCTGCATTAGCCTTTAACCTAGTCCCTGTTTTTCGATGTATGTCACTAAACACATGAGATGCTTTCCATTCCTGTAACCTGTTTTATCACGTCATCAGTTCTGTGTTTATCATAGCTTACGAAGTATGCATAAATATACATAAATACATACATGTATCAATTAAAAATTTCATTAACCGTCTGTTTTTGTTCTATTAATTTCTTTTTATTGTATTTTAGTCTACATGGCCTAAACTAATCATGTCTGTTGTTGTATCCTTTTCTGTCGACGACACCAAACGATTAACGGGTAAAAGAATCAACTCTGTTAACATATTCATACTACAAACTACATTCAATTAATCTCAGCACCACCTTCTGTGGGGCCAACCGAGGCTACGACAACTGATTGGCTGGACAAACTGCGCGAAATTCTGCCGAAGACCAGGAAACTTTGCAGACAAGAAGTGGGCACAAAGACATCAAGTTAGATACTGGGAGTCAAATCTTAGACAGTTTCTTTGTTTTTTAATGGCCTCTGCATGTGATGAAGGATATAATAATGCATTCAGCGTACATTTATTTAGGACAAACTTTTTATTTTCCCCATCCTGAGAGTATAATCAAATTTTTACGGGACTGTGACAACATTGCTTGTGTAAACCCATCACCGTGCCAATCCCCATCAGCCATCGCGTTTGGAAAATCGCCTTAATGGTGTCCTGAGAACGTAATATAAGAATATAATGATACCATGCTGGCATCTTTGTTATTTGACAGCAAATTTGATTTTATTATAAATAAATTATCAGAAGCCTCGTATCGTGTTAAGACCACTTCCTCAAAATGAGGAAACTGATATGTATCCACATGATGTGTGTGTTTTATTGTTGACAGTTTATTATATTTTTCTACGTGTATATGGATCGATATTTCATCATAACTGGCAATATGCTTTTGTCTGTCCACTAACTAAATAAACATGTATGACCTTGTTATCACATGACATTACAACCAATCATGGTAAGACGTTATCTGATTGGTTCATGTGTATTAGCCATTTTCATATATACTTTTGTATTTGACACTTGTACATTATTCTGGTTCACACGCAATTCGTACATCTAAGTACCCTTCCACTCACACACTTGTGTGACATTTATTTTCCTTGTCTGGAAAATACAAGTATCATCGTAAACCTCGTGGACTTCTGATTTCCCTCTTTCCGTGTCAGGACTATTAACCACTCGACGAGTGCATAACAGAAATCATATTTATATTTATACTTTCAGCCTACAGTTCGTTACTATTGTACGAACTGTGGAACGCTTGCATCTAGAAACGCCCCATCAGCAAAATCAGTCTCAATATTTATGCTACTCGAACGCACCGTAATAAGCATTGTCACAGTGAAACAGTTACGAATCACGATGGTTACATTGCACTAAATGGTCGGGTACATGTGCTGATGATATGGTTGTCCATGTCAGTACTGCTCTCGTTTTAATATTGAAGTGAACTTCCATGACCAACCCAATTACTACATGAATAATAGCTGGGTATGAACTATCTGCATTGAAACCACTTCTTAATCTGCCGTATCAGTTTGCCGGTGGTATACTGATCTAGCACTACCATCACGCGGGTCTCAAGCTTAATAATAGTCAATTTATTTCATTCAAATCAGCCAGTCTATGCTAACTACCTCAACGCCGGCTACCATACCAAGAATGAATTAAAAACGTGAATTAAGAGCTTTCCTACTTACAGTGTCAACGCTCACTCTAACGAGTGACCCCCTAACGTTGTACCCTAACTATGACATTATCTTATGGTGTAGTCATATCATTTAAAGTCAACGGTCAACAAAATTAAACCACAGACTAGGTGGTCTTTTTTGGCGCTTGAATCATATATTTATTTCATTTTCAACAACAACCTCGGAGGCTGACTCAGAAGTTGTTCGAGTAGATTTATTATAATGTAACTACTGCTATGTGTTACGGACACAAATGTAACTTCAAAGTAACCTAAAGTGACCCGTTGAAGTGAATTACGTCGCTCCTATCCTACTAACGTTCACTTCATACCATCAACAAGTCGCCCTTTTGCACTAATGCATGAAGTGACATAGTGGGACATTAAGTCTGGAGTTCATCTCTCATAGTTAAACTCATGTTCCTTTTGTTACAGAACTAATAGCTAGGCTAGAAATTATTTGCCCTCTTGCGAACATGGGATAGGAATAAAATTCCTTCAGGGAACACTTAAGTTCATATGCTATCTAAACAGAGATACATTTTTAACTACCGAAGACTCATCTATGCCCAGTCAATCGTCGTTTCATCACAAGTTGTCAATGTAGTTGAAGACTGAACGATCAATTCATGGTTGTTTACTCAAACCCAGATCAATATTTTTCGCGGGAGTCATCAATACGGCAGTCATCGTCTCATCGTTTGCTGTTCGGTGGAAGAGAGAAAACTATCAGAAGTATTATCGTAATTTATTGTTATGACATTTATTCTCAGACCTTGTGTATAATAACCTTATTGTTGGTTGCATATTGGTGCAAGAATAAACGGTTCTTGAGTCACCAATTTGCGTTCTGGTTTTTCGTGTTAGTTATAACGCATAGTTTCTGAAAGTCTTCCAGGGACGACGTTAAGTTCGGTGTGATTAGACCTGGACGTTGACAGTTTTCTGATAGCTCCTGGAATTATTCGCTGTATTTGTTGGCAATCTGCTTTCCTCGTGTCTGCAAGTTTTCTCTGAACGAGTGTTATTTGGAACTTTTCTGGATCGTTTGGTAACGTTCAGTAATGTCTGGGCCAAAGAAAAGACGAAGCATTTTTGAGGCAGACGACAAAGTATGACTTCATGATTTGTCCAATGTGTGTAATGTTATGTCTGATGTCATATTGGATAATCATGATGTACCAGCCAGAGAGATAAGTTGCTTAAAACCGCTGAAGTTTGAGCCTAGGTGTTTTGAGAGGAATCCTGCTGACTTTCCTCACTTTGTGAAGGAAATCGAAGTCATGCTAGAGGGTTTGAAGCCAATTGATGAAATGAAACTAGTGTGCTTGTTGAGGTATTGCGCTGGTAGTGCGGCGAGTGCAATACAGTGTTGCAAGTCTCTGCCACCCAGGGAGGGATATACGGAGGCTGTGCGTATCCTACGTCAAAGGTTTGGAAGACCTTCGATGATTGCAGGGAATGTATTCTAGGCTAAGTTAATGATAGTCAGTTACGAGATGACTCCAAGGCACTAACTATGTTCCTGGATATACTGATGACCAACAAGGGTACGCTGCTTTCGATCAATTGCATGGGGGATCTGAGCTTGAGTTCTGTCCTAGAGGTAATGGCGAGACGACCACCTACTCCACTGCAAAGGGAACGGGTAAAGATAAGCTCTCGTATAGAGGATGAATGCCTAGAGGCAGGGTTCGACGATATACTGAGATTAGTGACAGATAATGTTGATCAGACTATGGGCAAATTTGCCAGTATATTGCATCCGGCTTCTGAAACTGAGAGGTCAGCGAGTAAGACAAAGCCATCTGTGACGAGAGGTTCTCAAAGCATTGGACTTTAAGGAAAGTGTGTTATCTGTGGCGACTTACACATAATTAGTGAGTGTGCTCGCTTCCTTCAGATGTCTTCGACAGAAAGGCTACAAACTGTGAGAAGGAAACGGTTATGCTTCTGCTGTTTAAAGGACGGGCACACAATACTTAACTGTGAGACAGCTGAGAGTGGTGGTAGTGGTTCATAGGGATTACATCCGCTGTTGACAGTATCGAAGAATCAGGAGAGTTCTACTAATTGTAATAGCCAGTTAGAGTAAGAGGTCGTGTGTCTATGCATATGCGTTGCAAGATAATGGTTAAGACATTACACTGATAGATGCTAAGCTGGCTGGCTGCTTGGGTAATAAGGGTCCAAAACAATCATTGGTCCCAAACACTTTAAATTGTTCGAAAACGTTTGTCAAAGGAGTTGAAGATTGAACGATCGATTCTTGGTTGTTTGCTCAAAACCAACTTCCCCAATTTTCGCGGAGGCATCAATACGACAGTCATTGTCTCATCGGTCGCTGTTCAGAAAGAAGAGTGAAACATCGTCAGAAGTAACAATGATTTATTATTGTAATATTAGTTTTCAGACCTTAGTTTGCTTAGTTCGTTTATTCCTTTTATATGTTGGTGTAACAATAAAGAAATAACAAGCAGCAGATCGGTGTTTTGGTTTTTGCGTCCGTTATTACTAAGCGTTTCTGAAACTTTAAGGAACAGCGTGAGCCCGAGCGTAGCGAGAGCTGGGCATTAACGGTTTACGAGACGAGACTGACAGTTTCTGACGATAGAAACAGATCTGGCGGATTGAAACAGTTGGTGAAAGTTTGGATAGTCGCCCTTCATTTTTCCTGGTGCCGGTCAAGTCCTCTTTGAACAAGCAATATCTGGAACTTTTTTGGAATTGGTTCAAGTTCAACAATGCCTGGGTCAAAGAAGGGACAGAGTGTCTTGGATGCAAACAGGAAAGTAAGTCATGGTGACTTATCTGT